CCACTATCTTCTGACACCTGTCAGGATGGGTTCCAGAATCTAGCAGAGAAATGTGTAAACAGTATAAGGATTTAGCTCTGATTTCAATGAGCCAATCCCTTGGTTTAGTGATGCAGATTACATTAATAATATAGCAGAATTTATTTTAAAATATTGTTATCCAGAAGTTTTGGTAATACAGCTTGTCTTTTGATCAATCCTTAAAAAAAAACTTTGCCAGATAAAGATTTAATTTCGAATTACAGTATGAAGCTGAATTTTAGGATTAGAAGAGAACATTCAAATTGGCTCTGGAAATCATATATAACTTAAAATGACTGTTGAGTCTTTCACCAGAAATCCAAATGGCCTATTCCCAAGCAGAGCTTGTCCCATCTTGAATAAGGATATGGATTCACAGCACTTTTCACTAAATGCATCTTTTTGGTGTAGTGGTTAAGGCACCAGGCTAGAAACTGGAAGTTCTAGTTCTGCCTTAGGCACAAAGCCAGAAGTTGGATGGTTTTGGGCCAGTCACTTTCTTTCGGTCTTAGGAAGAAGGCAAAGGCAAACCACTATGGAAATCCTGCTGAGAAAACTGAAGGTATCTGTCCAGGCAGCTGCCAAGCATCAATCCTGACCTAAAAGGGACAAAAAGGGAGCATCTTGCTGAGAGATAGCAAACTCCCATTCAGCCAAGGTTTTGGAAAGCTGAAGCATCAGAAAACATGGAAATAAAGCACTTGTTAGTCTCTTGTAAACATATCCGCTTTCAGTCATGGCTATGCCTCTGTTGGATCATTATGAGAAGCTACAAAGCCACATTTATACTCCAATGATTCTAGGGCTGACAGGTAGCTGTCACACACTCTGAATCCATTCCATACTAAAAGCTGTGCAATCACAAGGGAGCATGTCTCCCGGATAACATAATTTCAAATTAACTGTGCTTGGCGTTCAGAGATTTCAAACTGCATGGGTGGTATTGATTGATGGAAGATTAATATCAAATCCTGCTGGCACAATCCAGCTGCCAGTCCAGACTGAAGATCTGCCTCACTACTTTCTTTGCTGCCCCATTTATTTTAATGATATTGGGTCCTACTATCTCGATTCTGAAAAGGAGAGAACCTTGCTCAGGCATTATGAAATGTGAGCAGCTTTTCATGGGAGTGTTCCCATTAGCCTGCTCTTGCTGACATTTTGCAAATAAGGTCTTTCTCCTGAAGATATTCACTGCAAATTTTTGCCAAGAGAAACATCTTTGCACAGGCATGTACATATTGATTTCCCTACATACCAAATTTATATGCACTGATATTATATGTATCTTGCACTATATGCATTTGTGCCTTGCCTTATATGCATTTGTGCTCACCTACTGCTCACCTAGAAATGTTTTTCAACCATAACTCTTTAAGAAGAGTTAACTTCGAGACCGCCTCCTGCCACAGATTACCCCCCACCGACCTGTACGCTCTCACAGAGTGGGTCTCCTCAGGGTACCGTCGGCCAGGCAGTGCTGGCTGGCGACCCCAAGGGGGAGGGCCTTCTCTGTGGGAGCTCCCACCCTCTGGAACGAACTGCCCCCGGAGATCAGGGTGATCCCTGATCTCCCTTCCTTCCGCCACGCCCTCAAGACGTGGTTGTTCCAGCAAGCGGGACTGGCCTAGGGGATTTTATAGGGGTTTTAATTACTTTTAATTGGACACTTTCAAATATTTCGTTTTAATTAAATTTTAATTAGGTGTAATATGTATTTATGTTAGCTTTTTATCTAATCTGTCAGCCGCCCTGAGTCCGAAAGGAGAAGGGCGGGATATAAATGCAATTAATAATAATAATAATAATAATAATAATAATAACTTTTAACTTCCCAAATTCCCCAGGCAACTCTGCTGGCTGAAAAATTCTGGGATTTTAAGTTTACACCTCTTAAAGTTGCCAAGGTTGAAAAACACCAACCTAGAAGCTAGGTAGATCTCTTTTATTCTGCAGACATTTCCAGTGAACACATTAATGACTTCAGAAGAAAGACATAATTTGAGTGAGAGCAGTAAAGCAGCATGGTGGTGCTTTGGTTTTTATGATGCCTGAACTGAGCTAATGCATGGTCATCTAAGATCACTGACTTTTTTATTTATTACTAAGATCACTATGTTGTTCCAAGCTAAGCAATTCTGAGGTTACACTCCTGCCTACAGTATTAAGGTTGGGAATGTACAAAAAAATAGCATTAAAGTATAAGACAAATAATCAAAAATCCATCATGTGATCCATCATGCAGCTCCTTAACTGCAGACAAAGAATGGTCAGTTCCATCTTCAAAGTTTTTCTGAAATGGCTGGGACCTCACTTATGACTATGAGCTAGCGTGAATTCTTGAATTGCCCTTGACTCCTCCCTCAAGGAAAGCATATGGAAATCATTTATGACTAGAATCTGGATTAATAAGGTTAATGGACTTCAACACACCCAGATTGTCCCTTAGCTCAAGCACACAAGCAGGATCCAATTCATTATCCCCATCCTTTCCTGCTATGAGATCTTGGCTGATGCAGTCCTGACACATGGATGATGTCTTGGTGATACAAACCAGATGTACCCTCTCTTCCGCAATCAATCTTACAAATTATAGTCAACGATGTGAAAGTCACAGCTTTCAATAGTAAAGGCGATTCCCTTACAGTGTAGCGAATATCTTGTACGAATCTGATGAAACAAACTTGATTGCTTTCCATTTTGCTTTGCTTTGCATAAGCCTCCTTTAGCAGGTTATGTGTACACAAATTTGAATTTTATTTGTAAGTTCAAAAGGAGTTGTCCGGTGTTTATCTGTCCAGATGTGTTGTTGGATGATCCTCAGAATTGCTAGTTGAAAATATTGAGAAGGGAAATGCCACAATGGGGAGGAATAGATTTGGAAAACAGGAGATAGGAAAGAACTGCATTTGGCCGAACAGAAAAATGGTTGAACTGCCAAACAAATTGCAAGACCCTAGCAATCTCTGTGTTCCTTCTAGTAGCTCACCTTAAAGACTTACCGTAATCTGGTTGGAAATGAGAAACTTACTCAGCACAATATGCCTATCTTACATTTACACTACTTAAGCTTTCAGCTTCAATTCTTTCTGCATTTTAATCATTTAATAAATGGAATGAAGTGACATGCTACAATGTTACTTTAAAGAGTCAACAGAAAAAAATATTTGTACCTCAGGGTTGAAATGAGAGATCCTTGGTGCTCCCTGAGTTGGTTGTCTACTTGCAGATGTTTCATGACCCAAAATAGGTAACATAATCAGTTCTGGTAAGGACTGGAGTTCTCCACTCCCTACCAGCACCATTGATGTTATCTAGTTTGAGTAATGAAACATCTGCAAGAAAACAACCAAGCTCAGAGAGCACAAAAGCCCCCTCAGAAAAGAGCCACTAGATTCTTTACTGTTGGTGCTACAGTGGAATTAAGGGCTTATTACACAAGCTAATAGAAATAGGAAGCTGCAGGGCCATAATGACTGAATTGTAGAACCTGGTATGAATTTTTCTAATATAATATTCTAAGCAGTAACATGACTCAAGCTTTTTCTAGCAAATAATTCTGACCAAAAGTGCAAGCAACTCAGGATAAATGTCCTAAACACACAGCTTAACCTCAAACATATAGATATATCAGTGCATTGTACTTAACTTCTAGTTATTCCCTTTTAAGGTTGGTATTTGGTGGCGTCTTCAGACAGTACTTGATATGAGACTTTTTTAAAGTTTATGTTTTTAAAACTAGTCCAAATTTATTTGATATGGCAATTCAGTAGGCTTTGCCTGCATTTGGTTTGATCAGATTAAGAACAATATCTGAAGAATTCATCATGTCACTTATCTTAATGGCTCGTACACTTTCCTTGTCTAAAGGTGATTTTTTTCAGTTATCATAATCTATTGAATACTTTTCTGAAATTAAAAGCTAAAAATTGAATACTTTATTTGTGATGTTGCAGAGAAAAAGGAGAGAAACATCTTGTGTATTAGAATAAACATTACAGGCTTACAGAGTATACAAATGTGGTCAAACATCCTTTGTTCAAATCAATATTAAATTTAATGCCACAGAAATAGGGGTTCATTAATTTCTCATAATGAAATAATCCCTTTGCAAGTTTGACATTTCACAGAAGCTTGCCAGAATCAAGGTTTAGCCATATGTTCCATGGACTGAATCTGAACTTCAAATTAAATTTATGTAGCCACCATTTGCATTACTGAACACACAATAAATTATGCTTACAGCTTTACATATAAGGAAAAGTTGACACAAGAGTCTGAGTTGGATCCAGACATATATCATGCTTATGGATCAACAAAATTAATGGGACTTAGGTTAATCATACATATTCTAAGTCTGGAGTACCAAATGTTATATTTCATATATATTCCATTGCAATGCTATTTTAAACCATTCCCAGAAAGTAATGTTTATCTGCTCCTTCAAAAAAATTTTTTTGTTCCTTAGCCTCCTTTCCTCTACAAATAACAACTAGAAAGTTACTTGACTCTATGTGCCACACAGTTGTGGTACTGTTAGTGATAAAAGACATAATAAAGATTGACTCTGAGGGAGAGGACTTAATGGCCAAGACATTATTCTATTATCATGATCTTATTGGACTTCAACTCCCATGAGATGAAAGCTGCTAGTTGTGAGGGCACATCATTTTGATTTAATTAGAGAGCTTTTAGTATACAGGGGAATCTGTAACGTAGGCATCCAGTTTTTATGTACAAATCAGCCCCTAACTTATGACATTTTAAAATGTACAATCAGAAATCTTTATTGCCTACATAGAACAGTTCTAGTCATGAAAATGGATGAAAAGAGTCTATGGATTTATTTATTTTTCTTAAAGGCATTTTGCTGGTCTGCTCTCAGGGCAATGCAGACATTTTCCACTGTAATTCATAAATCAAGATGCACCATCCAGTTATCTACTTAAGATGGCAAAGGAGAGAATAAGGAGCCAGTCCATTGCTAAAAATTTATTCTGAAGCCTTGCTTTAAGTCTTTATCACAAAAGATGGTTTATGTTTGCCACATTATTATAAACTGAGGTTTTTTTTTGTTTCTACTATTATAAAAGTAGACTATGTTCTGAGTCATTTTAAAAAGCAGGCCAATTGTTTTGGTATATAAACTGTACATAAACAACAACAACAAAACAAGGCACTATACATTTTTGGGATATAAATTTGGATTCAGTGGATTTTCTAGAAATGTTTATGATAATTCTTGGTTCAGTTTAGCAGCTGAAACAGCTCTGAGACTAATACTTTTGCAATTAAAACACTCAGAATGAGGGAAGGAAGAAAAGTGGGGGAGAGAGAGAGGGCCATAAAATCAGCCATAATACAAGATAATAATAAGTCTAGCTACTTTCCTGGAACTTTCTTTACAAAAGTATTGAAAATGAATAATACAAACTGAATTGTTCAATACATCCTTCTCCTATGCGTTTACATAAATACAAATCCTTTTGAAAATCCACAGCTTGAACAAAATAACACTTTACAAAAAAAGCATTTTTCAAAAACCAAATGACACGTAGTGTGGGTAGCCAAAGGATCAGCAATCAGAAAAGTTCCTGTTCAGAGTACAAAAAACATAATATTCTAAACCTGGCCTGCACTTTGGAGTTGTTGCCCACCAAATGTCTTCCAAAGATGCTTCTTGCACATTTACATTATGGTGTGACTTCAGAACAGATAGCAGAGTCTAGTAACTTCAGGCAGAATCTCTCTTTTGAGGGTGAAAATGGGCATGCTACTTTGGCCAAGAGGTGCAGAAAATGTCAACGGGTCATGTTCCACTCCAGCTCCAGCCCATGATGACAATACTGGCCCTTTCAAAAAAGCCCTTTTGCCTTTTTGAGGTTCACCTGCTTCCAGGAAGGCAGTGTGTTGTATTCTTCTCTAGTTAACTGTAATGCAGTCTGAATTAAAAACCAGAAGGCATTGAAAAGGATTAGAATGTAAGAATTAAAAAAATGTAGACAAACATACAAAAGGAATTCAAAGCAGAGAGATAACAGTGAGTTACTTCCTCTAGTTTACCTCAAAGTCCTCGTTTGAAAGGTAGATTTCAAGATTAAGGGGGTCTACTCCCTCAGGAAGAGGCCTTGCTAAGAGATCAGCAAGTGGATAAAACTTTTGGCACAGCTTGGCCAGCACATCTTCTACCAGGATGATCTGATTAGAAGCTTCAGCATCCTGAGGAAGAACCAGAGACCACAGAAGAAAATAATCCAAACAGAAGCAGTAAACAAAAATAAACTGAACCAAACAGTTTCACACTAAGTTTGAATTCTTTAAGGAAGCAGCCTCAATTCAACCAAGTAATCTCTACAGAGAAATCAAGTTTGTTTGTTTGTTTGTTTGTTTACTTGCTTACTTACATCAAGTCAGTGTTGACTCTTGGCAACTGCCTGGACTGGTCCCTGTGGGTTAGCATGATTTTTAGATGTGGTTTGCCCTTCCCAGGGCTGAGATTTAAACACATTTCTTCTTTTTCTCTTAACTATCTTAGATATCATTTCCATTTCTTTCTAATGCTCTCATATGTTTCTATCCCGTGTTCAATAGGAAACTGCCTATTCTTTTACTGATTCTCCTGCTCTACCTGCTGCCCATCAACTTCATCTCTTTGTCCCTATTAATCAGGTGAGCAAATCTTGCGTACTCTAGGCCAGATTTTGCAATGATTTGTTAAGCTCTTGTCCAGCAACCTGTTTCCCATATTACCACATATATCAAGCAACAACTCTTCTATAACACTTAGTTCTTAGAATTCTAATCCAATATCTCCAATATATCTATAGTTGGGAAAGGTTGTATACTGTAAAGTATGCATTAATTCTTCTATTCTCCCTCTCTTTTTATTTACTTTTAATTCTAGCCTACTTCCTAGATATCAGTGGTACATAGCAGGTCATTGTACACTGTTTTTCAATATATATTGGTTGGGGGGGAGATATATGAGTCAGTCTCAACCCCTTTATATTTTGTATTAGGAAGCTTCAGCTGACTTTCTCTCTGCCTATGGTATGCATAGATCAACGGTCCCCAACCTTTTTGGCTCTATGGACTGGCAGCATTGGTGGCAGTAATGATGGTGGGGGAGGGGAGAGAGGACATGGTTTCCCATGCACCAGTTGCTTGTGCAAATGGAAATTCATACACTGGCATGTGCGCTCGCCATTTGCCTGGCCTGGGAGTTGGGGACCCCTGTTATAGAAAGCTATCAGAGACAGCTGATATAAGGTAGCAATACTCGGATGGGACCTTTGGGTCAAAAAGGACACATTGAAGGTGGCACAAATCATAACAAAGTCAATAAGAAATTTAATGCAAAAATTAAGGATAAGGTCTGCACTAGGAACCTCCATCTCTCTTTTATTAGTCTTATATCTTTTTCTACCAGGCTTTTGGCAATCCTGCCTTGCTACCATGTTGGAGATTAGCTGTTAAAAATGGTGCAATCTATCGATGGCTTATGTCTAGAGTTCCTCCTGTTTCTTTTTCAGCCTTCTCCCAATCTTTTCTATATTGTCTGTGATAAAATTGGCAACCACTAGGCATGTGGAAGATTAGCAGATCTGTACAAAGCCTCCAAGTTACTGATCCTGTATAGAGACAGCATTGTGAATCACTCATTCCCAATCTCCAGTTTTGCTGAATGCCGTAAGACATTCCTTACAATGGTCACTAATTTCCCACTATTGGCTGGTCATTTTTAGACAAACTTTTAGGCCACATGACAAAATGAGAACATTTAAACATAGAAATGTATGATTTCTAACTACTAGTAAAGGAATTTAAGTAAGAGGGAACAATGAGAATACTGGAAAAAATGAAAATTAATAAAGAATGAAAATTAATAAGATTTGGGTTCAAAAATAAATCGATGTAGAATTGTTTGTGGACTTTCCCAACACAAGGCAAGCCAGAGAACAGTAAATTTTCTGTTCTTTTCTGCTTTGAGGTATTTTTTGCCTCCCTGAAAGTCTAATGAGGAAAGTTTTCTTGCTTATATTTCTCCATATTTTGCTCAATTTTCTCTGAAAACTTGTTCTTGTTCAGGGAATCTTTCAAACTTTTAGGAACTCTTCAAATGAGCTAAATATTTACTGGGATTTAATAAGTTTTTTTCTTACTAGTTATTCTTTGAATATTTAATAGGACAAGAGCTTGCTTGGCAAATGCAAACACTGCTTTATCAAGAATAATGTTTTATATGCCAAACCAACCTAATGTTATTTTTTTTAAAAAAAAACACTGACCAGTTAACTAATCATACAATTGCAATGGGCACAAGCATATCTTGAGTTCACCAAAGCATTCAACAAAGTCTCCCATGCTATCCTAATAAAGAAGAATAGCTGGACTATACTGCCATTATATGGAAGTAAAATTGTTAAACAATCCTACTCAGCAAATGTACATCAATGGCTGTGAATCAAATTAGAAGGAACCATTGGGTGGCATATCACAGGGCTCAATTTCACATCCTATCCCATTCAACATATTTATAAATACTTAGATTGAACATTACAGCTATACTGTATAATAGGCAGAAAGCAGCAATGTGAATTTCAATAGAAACAAATGCATTGTCCTATATTTGGATCAGAAAAGCCAGAGACATAAATGTGAGACTGATCAGCCAAAGAATCAGAGAGTCTGGGTGCTTCATACCTGAGCAGGAGCCAACACTTTTATGCAGGTGGAGAAAAAAAAGCAACAATATCCTACACTGTATAAACCAAGGTCTTATGTCAGGATCAAAAGAAGTGTTTCTTTCTATTCTACATTGGTCAGACCACATCTAAAATATTGTATCCTGATTCTAGCATCATATTTTAGGGTGGGCCTTGACAAACTGAACTACCAGAAGGAAATATGGTAACAGAGGAAAAATTTACAGAGAATAGTTGGAAACACTAGCTATTTTTAATCTGGAAAAAAGAAATTTGTGAAAAGACATGATAGCTGTCTTCAAGTATTTGAAGGGGTGAAAATAACACTTGACTTGCTTAATTATTCCAGAATATAGGAAAAGAATAGCTGGATCTATATTACAAGAAAGCAGATTTTGATTGGATAAACAGAATTTTCTACTGTAATAGCTGTCTGATAAATGGCCTTGAAAAGGGAGGACATCCTTTTGCTGGAGATGTTTAAAGAAAGGCTGGAAGACCATCTGTCAGAGATTCAGTAATAGTGTTTTTTTTTAACCGAGGCGGGGGGTTGTTCGAGATGATCTCAAAGAATCTTCACATTTTATGATTCTATAAAAAGATCTCTGGCATCAGATTCTCTTTAACTGGCTCAGTCTTAAGTTTCATACTTTATTTACAAATTAATATTCTCTTGTAGTTATCTTAAATTTTTATTTTAGCCTTCATATTTCTAAATAAAGCACTCTATTATATCGCAAGGAAAAAGGTGCAACTCTCGCAAACTCCAGTTTTTCACAAACAAGAAATCCATTTCCTGAGAAAGATAAGGAGTAGCTCCTGGCCCACAATTTAATAGGCTTTTAGTCCATTGTTATTTTATCACTAAAATATTTCCTTGAGCCTTGGAAAATTAATGAATAGGTAATAAAACATCAGTTGGAATCCATCTCCTCCCTATTGTTTTAAACTCACTGCCCTGAAAAACTTCAAGCACCCTATCCAGGTTAACCCCCTGGATTAACCTACCATGATGTTCCAGCATGTCCAAATGCAGATAGAAAACTGAGAAAGTTGAACAGAAAAGTTCATTTACCATTTCGGTGATTTCAGCAATGTCATCTCTGTGTTCCCAGCTGGGAAACATATTAGTAAATGTCAAAGGCTCAAGACCAGCATGGATTAGATAAGATTTAGGAGGATTCTTCACGTTCTTTCCTATACATTAAGAAAAACGTGTTAATACACAAAATAAATTAATGCAATTCCTAGCAAGGTGATTTTTTGCAAAATCAGAATAGTCAGGTCTGATATGTTCAAAATTTCCATGTATCTAGGCAACCCTTTGGGTATTGCTCCAAGGGCTCCTATCACTATTTGTACAATCATTGATTTCTTTCTCCTCAATTTGCAGATCATAATATTTTGTTATTTTTTTTCTAGCTGTTTCTCCTTAATTCGTGCATCATCTGGTATTGCAATATCAGTGAACCAGACTTTTTTCTTTTCCACAGTAGTGATGTCAGGCATGTTGTGGGCCAGATGTATCTGTTTGGATTCAAAAGCCTCACAGGATCCTAACTTGTTCATTTTCAAGAACTTTGTCAATTTGGTGTTCCTGGTAATTCTTGTGGCATTTGAACCCAAACTTCTGGCAAAACTTCCAATGTATGATTTTGGCAACTCGATCAGGACATTGTAGATAATCAGTTTGTGAGATTTTGTTATTATTATTTAAAAAGTAATGTTCATGTTTCAGAACACTTTATATGCTAAATTTCAAGGATCTAGATAACCAATCATTTAGGAAATTCAATACATGAAGGGTTGAGATGCTTGGATGAAAAATGAAAAATAAATATAATAAATGTGATTCTATGGCACAACATTACATAAGTAAAATGCTGTAATTTATTATACTTTGTTACGGATAAATATTTACAGATGTCTTTCCCTTATATCATAATTCAAGATTTTCTGAACAACATGTAATGCTAAAACCTTCTACACTCATCAGGAAAGATGGTTTTTTTTTCCTTTTTTTCTAGATATGATAATGCTCGAAGAATTACCATTTTGTTGTAAAAATGAAACAAATATTAATGTGGCATTTGTTAGGGGTTTTTTTTAAACATGAAATGTCACATTATATATTGTGTTAAGTAGCAGTTAGCTACTAACAATTCATTTGAATTTGCATTTAATTTTTATGTTTAATGAAAAGTAACCTGGTGTTCACATATAGCTAAGGAAGGTGCTTGGATTTGGCAGGGAATATTCTGTAACTCCATTATGTTTTCTATTTTGATATGCAGTTCTGCTAAAATTCATTTGGCTATTCATTTGGTGTCTTCACACGTCATCTTTAGTGAATCGTGCAAACCAGCGTCTGCATTTCCTGCATCGGATGAGGAGAGCACATCTTTCTCTTCTGTCCTGGTCACTTTTTACAGAGGCACGATTGAGAGCGTTTTAATAAGCTGCATCACTCTCTGGTTTGGGGGCAGCAGAGCCTCAGATAGAAGCTCCATACAGAGATTGGTAAGGACAGTCGAGAAGATCATAGGAAACTCGCTCTCTGGTATTCAGGATGCTGCTTATAAGCGCTGTGTGCTTAGAGCTCAAAGCATTGTTAGAGACCCCACGCACCCACTTTACCGTCTGTTTCTGTTGCTCCCCTCTGGGAGGAGGTTTTGGAGTATTTCTGGCAGGTCTACCCGATTCTGTAATAGCTTTGTTTCCTATGCCATCCCTCTGGTAAACTCACAAGATTTGTTTTTTTCGCCATGCTCATGTGTACATAATCCGAACTAGTATTCTATTCTATTCTATTCTATTCTATTCTATTCTATTCTATTCTATTCTATTCTATTCTATTCTTCATGTCCAGGGCAACACTATTTTTGAAAGTAATGTATGATTCCCAATACTTATCTGCATAATTCAGTCTTGATTATTAGTCTCAAAAAAAGTATTAATAGGATTAGAAATTTCTCCCATTCAAGGGTTCCAGAAATTGATAATGCTAGAATAAACTTTCAGAAATGTCTGAAATGTCAAGAACTCTAGGCTATTCTTAATCCTGCCAATGTTTTAGGAAGATTACTGAAAACTTACTGGAATGGTTAGGACAACCTCTTAGGGATAGAAATCTTCAGAAGTACACTCTACTCCAGCTCACACAGCAATCTAAACTGGTTCATTGCTGTATATACTGTACCCCTTGTGTCCTCCAGCATACATTCACCATTCTCAGAACTCAGAACTCCCAGCCTTAATATTTGAAGATTAGGAATTAAGGAGATTAAGCTGTCACACACTTCATTGTTTCATGGTGCATGTTCCCCATTCCTGCCTCCACATCATTAGCAAACTCCACCTTGATGATACTATTTTTGGCTGCCCATTTTTCTCTCTTCCTGGGCTGCATCTGCACCATTTCAAACATGCCTGTATTTATTATTACCTTTACAGTACTGTAGGACAGTCTCCATGGCACATTTCCTATCTGAAGCCCACCGGATTCGGGCAGATCCTGCGATTTTGTTTTCGACTGGCCACCAACCTTGCCAGAGATATACTTCGTGGTGATTGTCAACAAGGAAGAGAACTGCACAGATTAAATCAATGTTATTTTTCAAATGGCATAGGTATTCCAAAGACTACACGCAAAGATTTCAGATGACCTAATCCAAGATAGATATATACCTCGTCTGCACATTTATAAGTTCTCTAAGTATCTGGGGCAAGGCAACCTTTACTTTGGAAATAATATCAAATGGGATTCTGCAGCAATATGAAAAGGAGTTGAGAGGATGAACAGCCTCTCCACACTGTCTTACATAAGATGGACATTTTTTTGTTATTGCATAACTGCTATCCTTGCCTGTGCAGCAAATTAGTTGCCTTTCCTAAAGTGGAATAGTGATTTCTCCTTGGAAGTCTCAGAAGAAATTCTTTAGAGAACTGTCATTTTGCCTGTTACTGTAAGTTTTGGTTCTCTATGTTATGAATATAAATATAAATATAAATATATAAATCATTCACAAATAATGTATGGCACAAAGGCAAGGAAAATAATACTTGGCATGCTATTACACACATATTTTCATTGTTTTCACATCTAAACAAAAGCATCTTTCTAGAAACAAGGATTTTCAGATGTTTAACATATATATATTCATATCATTATTAATCCCATTGTTTTCACATCTAAACAAAAGCATCTTTCTAGAAACAAGGATTTTCAGATGTTTAACATATATATATATTCATATCATTATTAATCCTGTACCCCAGATATGGGAAACTATGGTCCTTTTATGACTTGTGGACTTCAACTTCCAGAATTCCTGAGAAGTATGAAGTCCACAGTGCATAAAAGGGCCATAGTTCCCTATTCCTGTACTCTACCAGTCATCTTACCTGGCTGGGGGGCTGTGTAGAGGTCTTCCTGAAGGAAGGGCATGGAATTAATCACAGAAGGCTCTCTTGATGGATAAATATACTCAGTGGCTGAGAATTCTCCTGATAAACTTCCAAAGATAAATAGGCGAGGTGTAAAATTAAACTTTCCAGGATCTTTAAAAAGAAAACAAGATGTTTAAATTAGAAAAGTACATACAATTTGGATGCTACATTTTTTTTCTGCCCAAATCTTATAAAAATGAATAATGGCAATAGGCGAATAGGATTAATGTAGATGTAAGTTCTTGAAAACATAATCTGACTGCCTTACTTTCATTGTACTTCTTGCAAAGAGTAGCTTTTTAAATAACTTAATATGGATATAATAAATTGGTTTACTTTCTTTTATGAAACAGATCAGATGGTTCTCACATTAGTTTCCTTTTTTTTCAGAAAGTCTTATGAAAACTCATATCTATTTTTGTATATAAATTTCTGTAACATACGGATTTTATAAGTTCTCCTCCCTAATGTACTGATTTTACTTTAATACATTCGTTTTTGTTTGCAGATTTTTAAATTTTTAAATTTCAACCTGGTCTTTCCAGGCAAGATATTGCTTGGGTTCAATAAAAACACTTTATATAAAAATATGATCCAATACATTTTGATCACATTCCTAAGTTTTGACAGATACTGATTTTTAAAAAGAATAACGAGACTTAAAAGATCTTGGCCATCTTAAAGACATCCCAAGAAAACAACCCTAACCCTACCTTGCAACATGCAGTCATAGGCTTTTCGGTCTCTTCTTCCTAAGGCATCCCAGAATCCCATTGGCTCTGTTCCTTCATCATATTCATGTATTGTCACTTTGCTACTACTGTGCAATCCTGCTTCCAACGGACATCTACAATGCAATTATCAGTCCGTTAGATTCAGAATTAGTAATGTAGCATAATTCATACCAAGAACCAATCATTTTGAGAGAAATCTAAGGAGGAACCAGGAAAAAACTCTTGCTAAGCTTCATCATTTCTCTTATCTCTTTTCATAAAAGGACATGTGTTCCATTTTGCAAGTGATGCACACTTAATCACATAGACTGTATTGGTTTTCCAATTTAAGGACAAGAATGCAGTCCTTCTGAATCATTCCCAAGGTCCAGCAGTCAGGTCTCTAAAGCGTTCAATCAGATGCTGCTGCAAAGCCCTCTAACGAATTGTGAATACTGTTCTTCTTTTATAATGCTGTACTGACTTCTGAATATAGAACTTCGATAAAATCCTCACAACTATTAAATGCTAATAGACAGACTTCAAAAGATGGATATAATTTGTTTTTAATCAATTTGTTAGTGAACAGCAAAACTTGTGGCAGCCAATAAATGCTATAAAGTAATTATTCATCGTATGAAAAGAAAAACATTTTTATCCATTCAAAATCTATTGCTAATTAATTACACTGGATAGATGAGTTCCAGTTTAAAGAAACAGATAAGGAAAAGCTTCACTTAATTCAACTTCTCCCCACCATTAGTAATTAGACAATTACAGAGCTAAAAAGCATTAAAACTTAAAGAACAATGGACTACAATTGGGAAGATTAAGGCTCAAATCCCCCATTAGCTGGTGAGAAGACCTTAAGCGGGTCACCGCTATTCAGCCTGACCCATTTCATGGGATTGTTGAGAAGCTAAATGGAACATTAAATTCATGTACAGTATAAACATCTTGAATTTCTTGGAGCAATGGCAATGAATAAAGATGACATAGAAGGGCTTATTGACTTTGCTATTTTAAATTTTAATTATATATGTATATGAAGTCATATCTGTATAGTGAAGTGGAAAAACATTTGAAGCCAGTTTAGAAATCTCTTACATAAGTAGCATAATTTTAAATACTACCCTAGTGCATAATTATTTTTCATCCCCTGCTAGAGTTGATAAGTATGAGTTCTACAAAAGTAACTATAGAGCAATGGTTCTTCTACTTACTGTTCTTTTATTTTGTTGGACGCTGTTCTTCCTACTTCCTTAGTATGTGGCTGGGCTTTGCATCCATGCCACAAATAAATAAGGGCTTTGTTGATATTGAGAACAATCATTGAAGTCCTAGATCTTAGGCTGCTGCAGTGGCAGGCTACTTCAAGCAAGTTCCCTTCAACAGGAACTTCTCCTCGAACACAATACAGTCGCCAATCACCTGCAGCAGACATTAAAGACACAGATTTATTATTCACTTATCATATTGGCTTATAAATTAATCTACAAATTTCTCTTGGATAAACTAAAATCAGTAGGAACTGTTTATGTAATGAATCTGCATTTTTTCTTGCTTTGCACCTTGATTGTAGATGTGCCAATTCCACAATGATGATCTATCTCTAAAAGTAGAGGTTAAAGTTCAGTAAGTTACGTTATACTGAATCAAGCATAGGGTTACTTATTTCAGCACTGTTTATCCACTGACTGGCAGTGGCTTATTCATATGTTTATAAGGGAACTTTTCCTTATTTATTTATTGAATTTATATTAGGGGACTCTGGGCAGCCTACAAAAAGCTAAATGGCAGTATCAAAATAATAAATATTGCCATGAAATAGCCAAGAAAGCAGCAATATACAGTGGGGTAGAGGTGAAGTCTTCATTTAATCCACTAACGACCTCCAGCCTGAAATGCCTCATTGGATCACAAAGTCAAGAGTGTGGGGCAAGATCTCATCTTTAGTGACACAATGTACCAGTGTGCAGGAAGGCAGAGCCACAGTCTCCCTGACCCCACCAATTGGAATTCCTTGACTGACGGGGCACGCAACATGCCCTTTCTGATCATGTGGGAGAGTGGTCCAAACTGACTGAAATGAAATGGTTCCTCAATTAACCTGGATCCATACCATAAAGTGCTTTTAAAAATATCTTGAACTGGACCTGGAAGCAAACTGGCAACCAGTACCAGGGGTATTAATTGGGCCACCATAGGGGCTCCCAAACTGTCCGCACTGCTGCATTCTATGCCAACTGTAACTTCCAAGTACTCTTCTAGGGTAGCCCCATGTAAAATTAGTTGCAGTAGTGCAGACACGAGATGACCAATTTTACAGGTAGTCCTTGTTTAGCAACTGGTTCATATAGCAACTGCTCACAATTTAGATGGTGATGAAGAAGTAACTTTATGATCAATCCTCCTATTTACCAACTCTGCAGGTCTGTAAAGGAAGGCTGAATTAAAATAATAAGCACTGTCACTATTTCACTTAGTGACTGCTTCACTTAATGACTGCATTGCTGGCTTCAATTGTGATTGCAAAATGAGGACCACCTGTAATGGCTACTGAAGTAGCATTTACACTAAATAAAATGGCAAAAAGATTACATTCTGGTTTATTTATCACACAAGATCACTTTTCTTTCCCTGCAAATTTCGGCAAAACGATTGCAACTAGAAGCTGTTTTTACTTTGTGTATTTTCTTCTTCCTCTTCCCTTCTTCCTGTATGAACAATCATTCCACCTTGAAAACACTGAAGAAAACATGGAGGCTCTTTTCCTTGAAGAACTTGCACCTGAAAAAAATTAAAAATCACAACAAATTAAGATTTGTGCAAGACCACAGTAAAATTGTAGTGAAAGCAACATGTGGACTTTTCTATATTAAGGGCTTTGCACAGAATGTCTGAACTAAGAAAGGTTAACAAAAAGACAGGCCTTATTTGTGGCAGCCCCACTAGAATACTAATACTAACCCCATTAAATCCTTTCATGTACTACTTTGGTAGGCCACTTGTGTAATTATAATTATCCAATAGAGTATTAATGGATGTACATTAATAATGAGCAAGCTAGTTTTCATGCATTCCTTACATCACTTTTAGAACTGCCCAATTTCTGAGCAGTTATAGCAGATTCCCTTGAAAAGTTTCCTTCTAGTGAGAACCTGCACTGATACTACAGCAAGAAAAAAGTGCTGGCAAATCCTTTGCTTTTATAGTTATGTTCCCTGGCAACAGGGCTGTTCCCACAAAACTATTCCGCACAAGAAGTTGCCTTTCACCAACCCAGACAATCTGTTTAATTAGGTATTGTTTATAATAAATTGGATTTCAGTGGTTCTCTACAGTTTCAGGTGAGAATTGTTCCTAGCCTTACCGGGAGACTGGTAATTGAACCGGGGTTCTTTAGCACAGAAAATAAGAGTTCTGTCATTGACCTATTGTCCAAACTGCAGAACAATACCACAGGTATGCAAGTCCATATGTTCAGTAAATTAAGTCTGCCTAACTTTTTTTTTCAAGCCATAGGGTTATTCTTACTATTTATTATTATCTGCTCTGAAAATGTAATGTAAGTTTCACACATATTTGAAACTTAAATATTGCGTTGGTCATAATGCTGGAGTCAGTTGAACTGGTCCTTATACTCTTTGATGAAACTCAAGAACAATGGAGACCCAACCACTATGTATACAGGATTCTGCCCAAGTTGGGAGTGGGCAAGCTTTTGATGGCTGGGTCTATCTCAAAATATTTTTGCCGAGGGCTTGGATCGAATGGGGCTACATACATACGGGCATGTCACCCAATTTGTCCATAATTTTTCTTAGTTTTTTTTAAAGGGTTAACAATTTTTTTAGAGCTTCTACTACAATCTCAAAATGATGGGAAATCTGCTAATATTTTGCAGTTGGGGTTAGAAGGGTACTAAAAGACGATTTGGTGGCCATTTATGACTCAGAGATTGTCCATCCCTGGCCAAAGTGAATTATATTTTTTCCAAGATAAGAAAGAAATTCCTAGTGGAGTTAAAACAAGCCTCCCTTGTTTAGGAGCTTACACATTAGGAAGAATTTAAAAGTATACTTATCCACCCACTAATTTTAATATTGATATTGATCCTTATCAATTTACTATGTGTTTTTTTTCAGGATTGTTTTATTACATTTCTGTAAGTTGCCCTGTGCTATTAAAGACATGGAAGCCTATACACGTTAGATCAGAGGTCCCCAACCTTTTGGGCACCAGGAACCGGTTCCGGGGAGAGAGGTTTTTCCGTGGACCACAGGGTGCGTGGTTTTGTGTGTTGCCTGCATCCCATAGATCAGGCTTTGCTTGTTTGTGCGGACTGGTTGCTGGCATACCGTGGCCCAGTATTAGTTCATGGACCGGGGGTTGGGGACCCCTGCATTAGATGGATTGGCAATATGCTCTGTTTGAAAGAGTGAAGCTGGAGACACCAGACTCGCAAAACCTATTATTCTGCCAATCCTCTGCTTTCTTCACCTGAGCTCCTCTTTCTTCATCAAGTTCCACAGTCATCAAGGCAGAAGTCCCCTTCTCACTGACAGTAGAATGTCTCCCTTGCCAAAAGAAATATACACATTTCTCTTTGCCAACGACCCTCGTCTGTAAATCCCCCTTTTGTCTGCTTCCAACTGCAAGATCAAAACAAACAGGTCGTAGCTTAGAACTCACATCCAAAGCAGCACTAGCAAACATTATATGAAAGCAAACCAATATGCTGTTAAAAAGTACTGGAAGATAAATATTCAGACGGACAAAAGTCTTTTGGAGATTGATCAGCATCACTTGAAACAAATTCATTATGATTGTGGTGTTATGCATGCCAATCCTGTCTTATTAAAAATGTGCAAGTTTTTATGTATAGATTTATATTAATTTGTGCATACATTATCACAAACATATGCACACACACATATATGACATCACATAGAGAAATGTACACTCATAACTTGTTTTCTGCCTCAGAAGCAAAGCATTTTCTATAAATTAACATGGTAAACTCCATAATCAACTCCTGATGGCCTTATAAAGCTATATTTAACATGCGATACAGCGAAATCTTCACCTTATTCAAGCATATCATTTATAGAAGCTTAAGTCATAATAGAAGATGGAGATATTTCACTGACCTGAAGTGCTCACTAGGTATTTCCACTTGACAACATATGTGTCGCCTTCATGAAATTGCCCAATACTTTGTTTAGGAAGCCTACTATAATCAAATTCCAAGATGTGCCAGACGTCCACAGAGATGGTGATAATTTCGAATTGTCTCCCATCGTCTCCCTCAATGAAACCATAGCCACGGCCAATATTCATCCCATCCAAGACAGTACCAACGGTTGCCTGGGGGACGGGGACCATGAGCATGACATCATATGGTTTTGTGTCAGATCTGGTTTCTTCCTATAACAAGACGCAAAGCAGTTTATAGTCTTAGGCAGCAAGGCAGAAAGTCCATTGTTCATATTATGATATAAAACCCAAAGTCTTATTATAGTGCTAATGCACAGACAGCTTTTATCAACAATGCACTCATGCTGCTCTCCATTTCCAAAGAACTGAAAGTAATTCAATTACTCTCTGAATTTACCTGAGATATTAGGACTTGGTTTCTAATGATAAACAGTCTCATGCATGAAGATGTCATTTATGTATATAAGATATCGCTACCATCACCACCAACAACAAAAAATTAAATCAATCTTTACTGTATCTAGTGATTACTGTGCTTAGATTAGAAAAAGTTTCCTAATTATATATTCACTGGGTCAATCACTAATTTAGGCTGTTTATAAATCTACTTAAAACAACTTCTTTTGCCTAGCTGATTTTTTTGAGCAAGATACCTTTCATGCCAAAATCTGCAATACATTTATCAAGTGATTCCTAATGTAATGATTATAAACAAGTAAGAAAGTCTTCCACCTTCTGAGTGGATTCAGTGGAATTCCTCTCAGCAAGTTTCTTCAATTCAGTCCAATCAAGAAATTTTTCTTTAAATAGTATTGTCTCATTGTGTTCTGTGAGTCTGCCAAAAATGGCCCAGTCTGGCCGCCCTTGTCCTTTTCTGCATGACAAAAAGAAAAAAAAAATATAGATAAATAGACTGTTCCAACATCATTTAACATGTCATGCTATAAAAGAAAAGCCAGTCCAGCAAAACTAACTAAATAAACCGTATTGCCAAAATATGTATCTCTTAATTTGACAATCATGAATCTTGACTTTTGAAAATTGCAGATCAATATTTAAAAAAAACAATAATAATAGAGAAGCCAACAGAGACCTTGGAAGACTCTGCCTCCATAAATCTGAGACTACAGACTCTGACCTAGATATCTGAGGACAACCTCAATCTCAGAGAGAAAATTGAAGGGCTGAAGGTACAGTGGCACAGTACTGCATGAAAAATCTACTTGTAAAAATATATGTCCAGAAGTCACTTTTAATCCTACAGGTGGACTGAATTATATGTATATTAGCTATTCTGGGGTTAGAGTTACATTATGAAGCTTCTTTGTATAAATCTCCCTATCTGCAGATAATCATATACTGGAAACTATTTCTTTGCTAGTTATGATTTTGTGAGAAGCTATTTTCAATCTACTCTTGAAATGACCTGCCTCTTGGAATCAACTTCCTCCCTCTCAATTTGGCTTGGTCTTTCTGTCTTTTCTTGTGTGTTCTGGACTGAAACTCTGATGACCTAGTTTGGCTGAGTTTTGCACCATATCCAAATTACTTTTTCCACTCAACATGTACATGATGGCCTGGGAGTTACAATTAAGGACAATTGTACTAGTTTTAATTAGGCTGTGTTCCTGCCTATAATAGGTCAGTTTTAATATATATGTCCCACAGATACATGTGGGAGAAATATCTAGGATTTCCAATAATTTGAAAAATAGTATTAAATTATTATTTTGACGTTTCTTTTCTTAAATAAGGATAGCAAAGTCATCACTGTCATTAGGTTTGATACCTTGGAATAAGAGGATTACATTCACCAGGATCTAAGGGATTGATGTCACAATTGGCGTAGTCAAAAGTCCCGTTCCATAAATGTTTGGCTAACTGGAAGGCAACTTTCCTTTGTGCCAGTGTGACCTCTTTCCCATGCCAAACATATACTTCACTACCAAAGTCAAACACCAAGACCTAAAAAGAGAGACAACAAGGAAATCAGAAATATTTTTTTAAAGGGCAGGGGGAAACAACATTGGGTGCCCCCGCCCTCTGGAATGAACTACCCCCCCAGATCCGGGTGATACCGGATCTCCTGACTTTCCGCCGTGCCCTCAAGACATGGCTTTTTCAGCAAGCAGGCCTGGCCTAGGGAGGATTTTAAATCGGGTTGATTTTTAGAAAATTTTAAATATCACAACTTAAAATATTTGGGTTTTAATTGGTTTTATTCGGTGGGGATTGTGGGTTTGTTTTTGTTTTAAAAAATGTTGTGAGCCGCCCTGAGTCCCTCGGGAGAAGGGCGGGATACAAATTGAATAAATGAATAAATGAATTAAATTTTTAGCCAGGCAGTAACAGTTGTTAACAATCATTAAAATGCCCTATAAATAAAGATACAGAACAAAGACAAACTCTAGATTGATTGATTGATTGATTGATAAAGTCTTCATCTGAGGATTTTATGAACTTTTGATGAATATTTTAATGCATGCTTATTTGTCTTACACTAGGTGCCACAAAACACTGTCTATACTGGAATGAATTAAAAATGCCCATACTGGCCATTTCCCTTCTCCTCATTTTATTTAGCCAGACTGAGTAAGGCATAAAGATAATTTTGTTTTTAGACTAATTGAAAATTTAGCACAGCATCAAAGCATTAAAGCTCCACTGTATTTTGATGAAACAAACCAGTTTTGAATACTGTTATTTGAAGGATATTTTTTTTCCCAACAAACTATATTTAAGATTACCTAAGGTAAGTTTGAATACTAGAAGCACGATGACTAGTGGTTGATCTAAAATTGAAGTAAGAGCTTTGAAACTCCTCCTTAAACTCATATGGAAAGATAAGAAAGAGGAGAAATAAAGCTGTCTGAAGCTTGTTTTCATAATACAAAGCTGTTGTTTAATGATACATCTGAGGGAGGCCAATCTATAGGAAGCACACCGTTCCTTGAGCTGGTTATCCATGGTATCTTTACCACGTCTGCTTTGCATTTTTAAGATGATTCTTTGTTTTATGTTACAGACATTTATTTCATTTGCTTCTGCTGCAAAACAAAATACATTCTACAATAGAAATGCAAATGAAGCAAAATCATATGATGCTTCATGGCTTAACTGATATATGAATTTACTTCATCCCTCTCTACTTTAGTATTGGTAAATTATATGACTTTTGCATTTTTCTATTTCCTCTGGCTGTTGATGTAGTTGTGTATTGGGTAAGGTTTTTTTCCACAATTAATTCAACTGTATAAATGTAATGCATAGCTTAGATACGATTGTTTAATAGTTTCCTACACAAATGCATATTGGCTGCCTTCTCTATAAGTCAGAACGTTCACAGTCATATAATTTCAATTAAAAAAAATCACAAGATTAGTTTTTTTGTTTAAGCAGCATGAATTTTTATATTTAATTATTGTATATTTAATTATATGAGTTTAATTATTACATTTTAATAGTGCTTATTGACGTAACTATCTTACTGGCTCTCTTTAGAAGCCCAAATATTACAATCTGCTTCGTTTTCTTATTTATTCACTGGAAGCTTTTAGGTTTATACACATTATGTTTGCCAGAAAAAAAAGACAACCACCTCTGAGCCCAAAGAGGAAAATAACAATTAGCATATGAGAAAAGAAGATACAGGTAGTCCTCAGCTAATGACCATAATTGAGCCCAACATTTCTGTTGCTAAGTTGTTAGTAACATGGTTATCAAGTAAATCTGTCTTCCCCATTGACTTTGCTTGCCAGAAGGCTTCAAAAGAGGATTACATGACCCTGGGACACTGCAACGGTCATAAATATGAAGCAGTTGCCTAGCATCCGAGTTTTGATCATGTGACCATGGGGATGCTAAAGTGCCGTGTGAGAAAATAACTTTTTTCAGTGCCATTGTAACTTCGAATAATCACTAAACGAAAGGTTGCATTTCAAGAATTACCTGTATATTCATTTTCACCAGCATTTAAGCTGCCCTTAAGCCTGAAAATGCCTCTTACTATACCTCTTTTGAGTTTAGCAATGTACACTTTGGCATCTTCCCCCAGTAGTCATCATCAGGAATAAGTTTATCATCAACAAGCCGGTAAATGCAATTTGTTTCTATTATTGCAGCTTCATACATCTCATCTTCCTCTGGTCTTCCAACCTCTTGAAAGAGGCAGACAAAATAAACATGTTACCAATGCCGCCCAGGGATGGCAGATTAGAAAAAGCAATTTAAGAATATTCTTACAAGAGGAAAATGCACTGAGATGGCAAAAACAAACCTACTCTTACCCTGATAGCTTGTTTGCCCACCAAGGAGTTTCCAGAATTCTTTGGCTGCATGAGTATGAGTATTGATGCCTTCTTCTATGGTCTGTATATAAGGAGCTCTGCAGCCAAGTTCTCGCTTTGTCTGAATTAAAGCTGCAAGCTCTGAAGCCTAAGAAATTGAACATGATTAGCTGAATAGGACTGCCTAAGCTTTGGGGACAATCGGACTATTCAAAAAAGAATGAATGTGTACTTGTTGCTATTTTCATAGGACATATAAACTGAAAGATGGAAACTGTGTCAAATACAGATAGGTTCCCTTGTTTCCATTTTAATGAGAACACAGCCCATTTAACTGCAAGAATCAGAAAGCACTTCCTGTCATTCAAGACTTATTTTTCTTCTTGGATGTAGATCTCTTTTCCCTAATGATTTTTAGCAGGGGGGAAAAATCCAGAAGGGGATGGTGGGCTGTAAGAATTTTCCCATTAAGATTCATACCATGTTTACAGACATTAAGAATCTTGTGCATGATTATTTTTGGAAAAGCCCACGATCCTAACAAAAAAAGATAACCAAGGGTTGGGCTGTCTCAGAACTTCAGAGCACTAACCTTGGCTTTTTCTATGACGTTTGCAAACTCTCCTACCCACAGGAAGCAAAACTGTGGCGTGAGTAGCAAGAAACAGTCACCGCTGTTAAGTGATGAAGCCCTTGGTTCAACTAATCTAGTTTGGACATGTCTTCTTCCTAAAAAAAATATATATATATCCAACAATAAATAAGGGACTAGAGACAACTTTCAGAGCTAAAGAGTGAATCTTTGAAACCTGGGAATAAATTGCTCATATTTAGTAGAGAGGGTTTTTATATTTAAATGGAGAGCTCAAATAATTGATCTAGACAAGTTTTTTTATCTCAAACTTTTCAAAATTGATAAGGATAGAAAATTTTGCCTATCCTATTTCTGCATTGTAATTATGTCACTATCACAATTTTCAGCAGCCCTTGGGGTCATCTTAGGATATCAATCTTAAAACCTAAAGGTCATTTTAATGCATGAAAGTCTGCTGGGTGATTTTGGGCCAATCACTAGGAGACTGTGAGTTCTAGTCCCACCTTAGGCATGAAAACCAATTGGATGACTTTGGACTAGTCATTCTCTCTCAGCCCAACTTACAGGGTCATTGTTGTGGGAAAAATAGGAGGAGGAAAGAGTATTAATTAGATATGTTTGCTGCCTTGTGTTATTTATAAAAATATAAGGTAAAAGTAATAAACAATTACTTTTAAATTCCTTTTACTACTATTGCCAAATTTTAATGTGCTTTATAAAAATGTTATCTGTCAGAGAATATGATTACTAGATAACAAGTACATTTATTAATGTATTAAACATGGTGTCTTTCTTCCCCTCTCCCCATCTTCTCCGTAGCTGAAAAAAATATTGAAACTCCTTGCTAATATTTAACATGTTGCATTTTGGATTAATTAAAAAATGTACTTATTCCATCTACCTTTGATCTGTAAGAGCATCAGCTTCTTGTACGGGACTGCACTGTTGTTTGAATTCTGCTCCGTCAAATTGACACTACGCAGACTAATATTGCTGAAGTTCTCTTTACTCGCTAAACCAGCAAGTGCTACTTCTGAGAAATTTGAGTTTCCAGACACTTAAGACAGATGAAGTAGAAAAAATTGACAGAAAGAGGAAAAAAAGAAAACAAAAAATAAAAATAAAATAAAAGAGCAGACAGACACACACACATAAAACAAAGAAAGGACATTATGTTTCGTTTCCATATTTATTTAGCTTTTTTTTCATGCATGGCTCATATCCAGCCTTTAGTTTTGTTGATACTGCTGAAAGAGACAACAAAAAACAGGTTGAGCTCAAATTACTCCCTAGTCTGAAGACCCTCACATTTCCAGGAGGAACATTTCAAGATAAAGATGAAAAATGGATAGATTATATTATTAAATATTACCAAGAACAATAAAGTTCAAACATATGCAAGTCCAGTTCCAATGGTTATTTGGCTTTGCATATATCCAGGTGTGTTAGCAGTTCTGTGGAAAGGGAGAAGAAACAATTTTTTGTCTGGCCAAGGACATTGTTTCATAGAAAATGAGAAATTACATCCTCATTCTCTTTCCATCTCTTAAGTATTGTGGGGTAGCAGTGAAGGTATTGCACTAGGAGCCAGGAAATCCAGGTTCTGAGGGGTCCTTGGTACTCTCTGAATGTGGTTGTTTTCTTGTAGACCTTAATAAGAAATAAACAATTGAAAACAAGCTCTATATTTCAGTGCTTCTATTTTGACTTTGTGCACCAGGGATTGGCACCTTTCTTATTAATGTTTTGTTTAAGATAGTTTTCCACTAATATTCCAAATGGAAATCTTTGATTTAATTCCTTCTTTCTAAGAAATGAAGATTTTATATTGGTAAACTGGATTAAATGATCTATAATATCAGCATCAACACTGGAATAAAAAAAAATAACAATGATAGAAATACAACTTCCGTGACTTGCTATCAAGCAAATGAACCATGGTTTACCATTATGATTGAGAAGCATCATGATATACACTTCATGGGAAAACAGAGACAATTAGTGCTGTTTTCGTCAAACGGTACCTGAATCTTGACCATATTGTAGACGAGTCATCTATAAAAGTACACAGAAAGCAGTTTGGGATCTTAAACTTACTTTTTTCAACTTTCATCCGCTTTGACTCCATGAAGGCCACATTTAATCTCTCCTCCGTGTATTCATGAAGAATGTCCTCTCTTGCTGCTAGCATTTTTAAAGGATTCTTGGAAGCCTGGACTTTGCGTGTAGGCCTCACAGCCCGTTTGTGCTCTGTTACTGAAGAAATCAACCTGAAAAGCAAAAGATCTTCCCGCTTAACCTACCATTTTTTCATCAGCTTTTATTGAAGGCACTGAATACAACTAACTGCTACATCTGAATGTCTTAACCAACATCCAGAAAAGCAAAGGCAACAATGAGAGCTTGTCAGACAAAACTAGGAGGATAAACTGGGCCCAAATACTCACTTGTGCCTAAAGCAGTTGCTTTATTGTGCCTAAACAACAGAACACATCAGAGTTGCTATGACACCATATAAATCATTCTGAGGGGGCTACAGAGTAACATCTTAATAAAGTGATTAAGGCCCCTCACAATAATGCTTTAAGGTTGGCCTTAAAGTGGAGTAGTGGAAGGTGAGTGGTGACATAACTTCTGCAGTGAAAAAGGAACATGTAAATGCTTATGGAAGGAGGGGTAGATGACTCAATCTCTTTCTTGCATCTGCTTTTAATCCTGTGATTTGATATGACAACCTCAAAAGCAAGACAGAATAAATATGGAAGTGTTATACTTAGGCTGAAACTTCCCTAAAAATTAATTTAGTGAAATGTTACAACCACTATTTTGTCTCTATCTCATTTTCTTCAAACTATGGACTTTTTATTTTTCAACATTGTTAGCATTTCCTTTGTGAAAATTTGATTATTCTGTCACCTCCTGGACTCAAATGACGACTAAGATGCAGGAAGACAAAAGAAGAAGAACTGGAAATATCCCAAACATAAATATGCAGAAGAGAAGTTAATAGAAGCGATAATCCAAATTTTCAGCATGCTATCTCAGAAATGACTGATTCTTGATCCTCACCCTTCCTCTATTTTTAAAGAAATGAAAGGGAAACTACTCACTTTGGCAAATCAAGATTAAATATGGCATCAAAGTCTTCATCCAACTCCATAGGCAAAGAGGGAGTTGGAAAATTTGTGCATCGGTAAAATTTGGAAAATGTTTCTTCGTCATCCAATTTCATTACTTCTTTCACAGATTTTCCTGTGACTGTCAGGACAGTCTCCTGCATTCCAGCAACTACAGAACACATTAAGATTATAGAATAATACTGTTTATTATACAGTCTTTGACTTTAAAATTTCTATTACAAAAACATTCATTTTAATGTTTGTCTGTCAACTTGGTACTGGTATAAAAGCATACCTTATCCTTCCCGATTGACAATAAAGAACACTGATGGTTTTAATAAATAGTTATAAAGGAGAAATTGACAAATATAGAAAGTTTACAAAAGGCTTTCAGCGGTTAGCGGTTAGTTAGTTAATTTTCATATGATATGAAATTTTTAAATTCACAGTCAATATGCCATTAAGAAAGAATGGACAATGCAACTTCCTTCATGTCCTGCTTATAGACCAGGGTAGGCAACCTTGGCTCTTTTATGACTCGTGGACTTCAACTCCCAGAATTCCTGAGCCAGCCATGCTGAGGGGGAAAGGGAGAGGTTTCCAAGCTGAGCCATGCTGGCCCAGGAATTCTGGGAGTTGAAGTTCACGAGTCATAAAAGAGCCAAGGTTGCCTACCCCTGTTATAGACCATCTAGAAGTATCTTGTCAGCAATAGTGTAGAACTAGTTGTTGAGCTAGATAGCTTGGTCTTATATTTTAATCTGAAAGATATAGTAGGTACCTGAGCATGAATTTCCTATTGTCAATAATGCTAGACAAAGGTTTATAAGCAACCTAGAAGATTTTTTAAAAATTTGGTTGCAGTAATGAATAGAATTTTCTCTAGTGAATATAGTGTCTTCCTGTTTTTTTAGATGACAATTGCTAACAATCACAGCCTCAATGATTAGGGATTATGGAAATGGTTGCCCGGGACAATTGAAAACACCAGATTGGAAAGGGCTAGTAACAAGATGGTTAAAAATATATATTCTCTAATTCCAGCTCTTAAGATAGTAGTTTAACAGAAATCAATCATTTTAAATAAATGTGAGAAGCTCTCACTCTCTCTTATCTACTTTTGCTAATTAGTCATTATTTATCATTCTTAATATAGGTCCACAGACCACTATTGGAATAATGAGTAAACTTCTTTACACAGGACAGTAAATTAAAATACAGGCTGCCTTCTCAAAATTGTACAGACCTTTGTTGTTGAGTCTTCCTAAGAAAGTTTCCAGTTTATCCAACTTCAGGTCTGATTCTAACTGCATATCTGGTCTTGCTTCAATTTCTAAAGAAAATAAGAGTAAAAACAATCAACTTTTTAAAAAGAAGAATTCAAACTGTTCTTATATATTTTAATGACTTACCTTCCAGGGGTTTTGAAATATGTGTGGTTGATTTTAGTCTGTTGCAGAAAGGGTATGTCACTGGAACGATGGCACTTGATGATGCTAAGCCTGCAGAATAATAAAATACTTAATTTCATATCAGATAATGGATGTTTCCAATATTCTGCACAATCTAGTTTTCAGGCATGCCTGGAACTTTTCAGGCAATCATAAAAGCCAGACATAAGTATATTCCTTGAAGGACATTAAGAGGTTTGATTTCTCCACAGATTATGCATTCACTAAATGAGCCAAATAAACAAAATGTTCAGATTCCATGGGTGATAGCAATATGGGTAGCTTTTTAGGGGTGAAAGAGAGGGTTTTTTGAAGATACAAATAATCAAATTCCTTGCTTTGATAATTAAAAAGATGACAAAATCTTTGCTGGAGCAATTGTGGCAAATCTCCACAATATTTAGGGTAAAGCATAAGTTATATTTTCAAGGCAGTCTTGCCAATAGTATCCAGTTGTTGTTGTTAGTTGCGAAGTCGTGTCCGACCCATCGCGACCCCATGGACAATGTTCCTCCAGGCCTTCCTGTCCTCTACCATTTTCTGGAGTCCATTTAAGCTCACTCCTACTGCTTCAGTGACTCCATCCAGCCACCTCATTCTCTGTCGTCCCCTTCTTCTATTGCCCTCAATCTTTCCCAGCATTAGGCCCTTCTCCGGTGAGTCCTTCCTTCTCATTAGGTGGCCAAAGTATTTGAGCTTCAGCTTCAGGATCTGGCCTTCTAAAGAGCACTCAGGGTTGATCTCCTCTAGGACTGACCGGTTTGATCGACTTGCAGTCCAAGGAACTCGCAAGAGTCTTCTCCAGCACCACAGTTCAAAGGCCTCCCATTCTTTGTCGCTCAGCCTTTCTTATGGTCCAGCTTTCACATCCATACATTGCAACTGGGAAAACCATGGTCTTGACTATACGCACTTTTGTTGGCAGGGTGATATCTCTGCTTTTTAGTATGGTGTCTAGATTTGCCATAGCTTTCCTCCCCAGGAGCGTCTTTTTAATTTCTTGGCTGCAGTCCCCATCTGCGGTGATCTTGGAGCCCAGGAAAATAAAATCTGTCACTACCTCCATTTCTTCCCCATCTATTTGCCAGGAACTGAGAGGGCCGGATGCCAGAAATCACTGAAATATGCTAGCAGAAGAACATGTAGCTCATTGATTACTAGTTTTTGTTAGATCTTACAATTTGCCATTTCCATGGTCTAGGATTACCAACATTTCCTTACATTATAATTTAGATGATCTAATAGTGATTGGCACAATTTAACTTCTTTTTTTTCTCAATGAGGAATCCCTGAAGAATTTTTAAGGACTTTTTAAAAATTTCATTCTAGAGTGCTTAAGATATAAATTCAGGGCCATTTGCATCTGGAGGCTCAGTTCTATTCTACCATATGCAGATTGTTAACTCACTCTGTGTGCAAATATGGCTATTGGATAGAATAGAAAGTTAGACTATACAAGTAAAATTTTCATCATTATACCTCTGGGACAAATAAGTGATTGGTGTAACAAGGTATACCAAGATTGAGACATTTCTGGCTCTCTAAGGTGTTGTTAAACTATAATTCCAGGCAGACTTGTATACAAATGATTACTGGTAAGGAATATTAATGTTCTAACTAAGCAACATCTGGAGAAACAGAGGATGCTGTTAACTAGATAAGAAGCTGGCCATGTGTTTCTATTTCTTAATTGGGCTTTCACAGACAGCTGTGCTCTTAAACCATTAGCCACACAGAAACCATGGAAATTTCTTTATTCCTAATAGAAAAGCCCATCAGTTTAGCTGCCAGAAGAAAATATAAATGCATCCTAAAAATAGTATGATATTCAGTTTAAGTGGTTTCATGAGATGTGATCAGCTTGCTCACTCAGTTATGCTGTATTTTGTTTCTTATTTCAATGGCAACCAATTATGTCAATCAAGATATAAAAACACTGCAGACTTCAGAACAGAAATAGTTTGCTGCTTCTGCTGATGGTGGCATTCTGGCCAATTGAGTTTTAAATATAACTGAAATAATATGCAGATCAAAAATGAAAAGTAATTTCTGGAAATGAAAGCAACATAAATCCTTGGCAAAATCTCTTTTGGTTGCTTCAGGTTTCTAGCTTTTTAAAAATCCAGACACAATGGATAAATTCACTGTTTTATTGTTTTTAATTGTTTTATAGTTTTAGAATTGTAAGCTCCCCAGAGTCACTTGGATGACAAAGGCAGCTATAAAAATTGAATAAATAAATAAAATTAAATGAATTTACTGACCTTTCTTTACCATTCTGCCAGCCACTGTAAACTGGGTAGAATCATTTGATGCTCCTTTGCCTTTAGCTTTCCAAGCTTCTTCTCGAACACTTATTAACTGCTTTCTTTCTTCAATTGTCATTTGATTTTCACAGCTATCCACATCCTTCTGTTTTTTCAAAGAATAAATCTGGTTATCAATCTATATAAATAAAAATGTAAATGTTCGTTTGTTCAAAATCTTAAATCTCCGAAAGTTCTTCACCGATTGCTTTGAAATTTTGCCACAACGTTGCATTTGAATACGCGCGCGTTTTTATATCCCTACTATTATATAGATGTCACACCTGTGACAGGAAAAAACATGCTTTTTTTGAAAAACAGCGCCATCTGTTGGACGTAAAAGCAACACACGCTTTTACCAGACTGAGCCACAGCAACGCGTGGCTGGGTACAGCTAGTATTTTATATATCTTTTTATAGGATTACGTGATCATATTAAGGTTTCAAATGGCTATATTGAAATTTTGAACTTCGAAGATTTCAAACTACTCAGTACTTATTTTCTGTTAAAATGCAAATTGAATAGAGCAAAAGTTCCTTTTTTGGCCTTCAAGATATAATGAATGCATCTATAAAAATTGCTGCAAACCGTATCACAGCCTTGATCTGCTTCATATATTATGATCTTCTCCAAGGTATCAGTCACCGATATTTTCCTGTCATCTGGCATTTAATCTAACTGGAAGTGCCAGATATTGAATTTGTAATGTTCTAAATAGTCTGTCCTATGTGATACTACAAAACTGTTTATTCTTTCCAAGTAAAATCAAACTCATTCCTATTTTATATGATAAGCGTAGTGTGTGATAATAAATAACCTGGTTAATTTAAATGCCAATAACCTTTGTATGTTTAGTATTTGGTTGATTACTATGTATAGTGTATCTTTATAAAGAAAAAACAGCAGTTGAGAGCTGGGAGCATGCAAATTATGCCTTTTTCTCAGCAGTCAATTTATCAAGTGGTCATATTTCCATTTTAACCAACAATCCTTCAGGCAGCATTCACTTACACTGTGACAATTGTATTACCTTTCTTTTAGCACCAATGTCACAAGAAATAAATTTCTTAAATATATAGACTGCTGATTCCACCCCCTCCCCAGTTTGTGTGTATATGGCATAAGTTGCCACTTGGTAAATGAATGAACCTATATTTCACCTATTGTACAACAATGTCAAGATTAGGGAGAAGCATATAGATTAAATAGTAAGTGTTTAACTAAGCTGATTCCTCCAAATTATTTCAGTCATCACTTTCTGTCACAACCAATTTACTTGCTACATATTTTATTAAAAATGAAGGCAGAATAAAATAAAAATAAAATAAAAAATATTTGTTATATTTAACTGTAACTCTTTTGCTAAAGTATAGGATTTTTAATAGAATGAAATCAGCTGAAGACAGTTTTCTGTTTACTAGTATGGAATCTTATACCAGTTTCAGAATCTTTGAAAGATAATTTTGCTTTCTGCTCTATTTTTTTCTTTATACTTATACTTTATACTTTATACAGGTTTAGAGCAGCTGGGAATTTTTTCTATTTGGATACAAAGACATGTTAAAAGAATTAATATTGTACATTTTTATATTAGCTATGTGCAATATTTACTAGTCCAAAAATTATTAATGTAACAAGAGATCAGCGAAATCCAGAAAAAGAAGAGGATTGCCACAGAAGTATATGCTTTTTATAAAAACAAGATAAAATATACACATAGGAGACAAATTCATATATTCTGTTATAAACAATGTAATCCCACCAGAAGGTGTTCCCACCATCAGTTGAAGTAAACCTGTTTCTATAAGAGCCTGACAAAATATTCTGTATTTGTAGCATCGTAAAGCACTCCCACAGACCCTGGATTCATTTCCACTGTACAACACAAATGAGCCATATACTATTATGCAACTAATAGTTCAAATAAGCAAAATCATACAACCTAAAACTTTCTCCCAGAAGGATGCAGGACTTCTATTGAACAAAAATCTCATTTGATCTTTAAGGGGTATACAAAGGGCTATATTTTAGAAATTGAATCACATTAGGGCAAAGAATCAAATAGGACTACAGCGGCAAACTTAATTTATTAATTTATTTATTCAATTTGATGCTGTCCAACTCCAAACAACTCTCATATGTTTGAATCCATTGGGGTGCAGTGGTTAGAATGCAGCATTGCAGGCTAACTCTGTCCATTGCCAGAAATTCGATCCTGCCTGCTTAAGGTTGACTCAGCTTTTCATCTTTCTGAGATCAGTAAAATGAGGACCCAGGTTGTTGGGGGCAATATGCTGATTCTGTAAATAGTTGAGAGTGCTGTAAAGCACTATGAAGTGGTATATAAGTCTAAGTGCTATTGCTATTTGGCATTAAAATTCAATTTAAATACTACCCATGCATTCTATAGTAAGGTTCATTAACTTGCAATCACAGGTTCTGGATAGATACATTTATCTTATCACCTGAATAAGTTATCCCTGTCTCATAATCATCAGCTTGTACAAACAATTCAGAATTAAATAAAATAGAAGGCAAATGTTGCATAAAGTTAAGATTATCCATTCTTGAGCTCAGAATATTTTACTAAATACCTCAGAGATGATCTAATTAAGATCATATTAATTTCTGACATAAACAATGCTGAAATGCTTCATAGTGGAAAACACAAAAAGAGAAATTTGGGCTGGTACTTTACGTCACAAAGGTTAAAGAAAGAATACAGAACAAAGTGAAATAAATGCCTTCCTGTATAAAGTAAGGCCTATTTCTACAGTAATTTTTAATATACACACAACCCAGAAGTGCCATTTGTATGCATTTGAGTCACTAGACTAAAAAGAATCTGATTTTGTACAAGTGAAATCCAGCCACACAAATAATGCAGCTGCATATGCTTAGAACTGTGCCCAATACAATCCTATTTGGAATCATTGCTTTTCAAAACTGTTTCATTTCACTGCTTCCTAAGCTAAAGAAACAGGCAGAAAAGGCAATATTTCACCTTCCATCTCCAAGGGTGATGTTCAAGCTCCATGGAGGTTGGCTGTCTCAAACTAGCACTATTGACCTTAAGGAAAAAGAAACCCAAGTATCAGAAATAAATACAGCACAGGATCAGAATTGAAGCAGGAAGTCTAAGATCTCCAGTCTGAATTGTTAAGGCAATACAGAGAGAAACTAGTATATTTAAGATAACTTAAATCTAGGACATCAAGCAACTGTTTGTGTTTGTGATCAAGCACCTTATATCACAATGATGCCCTCACACTGATAAATGTTATTTTCAAAGATAATGCAAAATAGAATTTTGAAACCTAGCTACTAACATGAAAACTTGGTTCAAATATCTGGATTCTTATACTAAATGTTCCTAGGTATATTCAGAAGGCTTGAATTTGTTTTAGAGAAAAAGAGGTAAACAATATCCAGAATAATAATACAATGATGATTGAAGATGTTTATTGTGGAGAATGTGATTAGGCAGACTTCTGAAGACAAAAAAAGGGAAATTAAAGTAATTCCACTGGTACTTTTGAAAGACAGTCTCTTGGACTCCTTTTTTCCTTCACTAAATTATTTTCATTCTTATACTGTAAGTTTATTAATGCGTTCCAAGAATGCTTGTTTTCTTCGTCCCTAACTTAATCAGCTTGTGGACATTGTTAATGATCATATGCACATCACTCTTGGAGCACTTTTGACTATGTAAACAGTGTTAAGCAAACAAACCATAACTTCCACTATTGCTGCCTTCTTTAACTGAGAATTAAAGATATAAGAAATTTGTATATATAAAATATGCTTTATATAGGTTTATACCATATTGCAATTCAAAATTTATTTTGAATTCCTAATCTGAAAGTAAACTCAGATTTTTTTTAACTATTGATTTTACAGAATATGGAGCCAGTTTGATATAATGGTTAAAGCACCACGCTAGAAACTGGAAATTGTGAGTTCTAGTTCCTATCAAGCCACAAAATCAGCTTGGCCAATCACTCTCAGTCCTAGGAAGAAGGCAATAGTATAACCACGTCTCAAAATTTGGTCAAGAAAAGTGTTAAGGCTGATTCAAAGACATTCCCCCATGCAAAACCACTATATATTGGAAAACAATATAAATGATCTGTTGTGTTTGTGTCAGTGGTGTTTAGGAAGAGAGCTAGAACTGAAAGTACATTAAAAAAGAGAATGAACAGAAGAAATAAGACTTACTCTACAACCTTTCCCAACAATTGATATATTGCTATACAATTCTTAGAACTTTCAGACAGAAAAACTGTTGATTGATATATGTGGAGGTAGGGAAAACTTTGTTGAATAAGTGCTCAATAAATCATTGCAAGACCTAGCCTAGAATATGCAAGATTTGCTCACCTGATTAATAGGTATGAAGGAATGAAGTTTATGGGCAGCAAGTATAGCAGGAGAATAAGTAGAAGCATAGACAGGTTCCTATGAACAGGGGGCAGAAGCATAGGAAAGAATTAGAAAGACATGTAAATGATATGTTAGACCAGGGGTCCTCGACCTTGGTAACTTTAAGACTTGTGGACTTCAACTCCCAGAATTCTGGGAGTTGAAGTCCACAAGTCTTAAAGTTGCCAAGGTCGGAGACCTCTGTGTTAGACAGTTAGAGAAAAGGAGGAGAAGAAATGAGTTTACATCAAATAACTGATGAAAGTTCTTACAGTGTTTCAGGATTTGTCTATCTAGACAATATGCTGTAATAATCAAACAAGAAAATCCATGCAAGAATGTTACACTTATTATAGCCACTCTCATTCAGCCATAGAAAGGATTAGTGATGATAGAGAGGTTTGAAGAAGGCAAGCATGGAGAATGACTTTTAATCACACCAGCAATACTTTTGCTAGTAATGTGTTTGGCTCTTGCTAAAAACAAAGAAGTGCCCATATTGTGATATACCATACCACATAGAGCTTGAATGTGAAGCTGACCATACCCAGAAAACAATAAGCCTGCGTGCCTAGCATAGCCGCTCTGCATTCATGTCAGGCTTACCCAAAGCAGCTTAGATATGGCTTTAGCATCTGAACCTCCTCCTTCTTCCTACAGGTTGAAGCAAATAGGAAACATTGCAGAGAATGAAAGAAGGGAAAAGTTGGAAAGAACTTGTGTCCTGGATAGTACGGTTCCTTGTCTAATTAAGAGGTGCAAAAAAAAAAGCCCCCTACAAATATCAATAGGCTGCCAACTGATAGCTACAGAGACAAAACAATTACTAGCCACTTTTTTTTTAGAGAGATATTCATACTTTATATATAAATAATTCTCAATCATAACTTTTTCTTCTGTTCAATTTTAGTTTTGGGTTAGGTTTTGAAAAATCAATCTTTTGCAAGAGGCCTTTGCTGAAATAAAATGTAATTAAAATCCTTTGGTTTGGTTAATCTTTCTGTGTAATGATCCCAAGCTCAGTGGTGCTCTAATGTAAATGTAAAAAAGAGTGGCCATTTCAATATTGGAAAAGTTAATCTAATAGAGACATTTTGAGGGGGGTCTTGTATGGTTGTGAAACTATGAAAAGAGGGGAAAAGAATTTAAAATACAAAGAGAATGTGAAAAAAAAACTTCTTCAGATACAATTTTATTCCTATCTGGATGTTTTAAAAATATTAAACCAATTACAACTTTATACATGTGAATTAACAATTAGTCCATCTTAATGCAGTAAAATGCCACAGTTGTGTCAACCACAATTACCAAAATAGTTGGTAATAGATATATATGGATTAATTGTGCCCATCTGCCACAATTGTGTCAACAATTGTAGCAGTTGGGCACAATTAATCCATATACATCTATTACCAACTATTTTTGATACCATGGAGATTGGTGTATACAATCGTCAATATATTTCTATCAAAATTGTGCATGCATTTATTTAAAATATTTTATTATTTCTGAATGGCATTTCCCTAAATCTCAATGATTTCCATACTAATGTGTACCGTACAACTTAATTTTAATTTAAAATTTTTGCATTTAAAAGAGTTAGGGTTACTTTACACCTATCACCTTTTGAAATTCTTCATTTTGAAATAATATTTTATTGCGAGATAGCCCAGATGGGAAGCATATCCATATGTACTAATTCTATTTTATTGTAATGTTACATTAACAGAATCTTGCAAGTCTGAAAGTACATCATTCCTCCCTTTACCCTTATAGCCCAAGAAACGAGGGCTGAGGTATTTGCCATGCCCCCATTTCTTCTATGAACTCAGCTGCCTCATATTTGATCATTCTGCTGGCTGCGGCTTTCCTTCTTCTTCCTCCCAAAGTCATTCCCACATACCATTACATAACTACTCTAAAAACAATTAAAAGTGTGGTGTTTCTTACATTCTTCCAAAATATTAACATGCCTAAGTATTTTAGGACTGTGTTTAATTTCTAGATAATTTCCAGTCTTAATCTAAAAATTACTATTCAAGTTTATTCAAGCATTTGGTGGCACCACTTTATTGCTTAAAACCATTCCAGTTTTATTCCAATGACATTTCTATTTAGTGGTGCTTCGGCTTGCTATTGTATTTTTTTCTATCAAGGTACATGCAAAACATACAAAGAAAAAGTATTCACTGCTCCAACTCTACCTAATAACATGAACTAACAGCAACCCTGAGTTCAATGAGATAAAGAAGTTACCTCCAACAGAGAAATAGAGATATGGGGCTTTATTGATGTTGCTTGTTCGCTCAGCAATTTTTATAGTTGACTAGGATATTCTCTGGGCCTGTTTCTTTGGGAGAATTGAAAGTGTTGTGCTGTACTAGTTTCCCACCAATATTTAGGCATGGTCTCAGGAAATAGAATTAGGTGACTCTAACTTTGCACCCAGCAAACAATAGCATAAGATGTTGCATGCCACTACTTATCTGTAGCATTATTTAGGTTAGATGTTGTCAGCAAGCTAACAGCGTTCATCTCTTCTTCTCCTTATAAATCAGAAGAAATGGGATGTTTTGAACTAGAATCTATACTGATGTACTGATATAGTGGATAAGGTCAATAAATTGAGATTGAATTCCAATAGAACTTGCCTGTTCTAAATGGGTTTACACTCTCAGAAAGAATAGATACACAACTGATGTGTTCCTAAGGTCGTCTCAGGGCCAGGGGACCAAATAGGTTCTAAGATCTGGATTGCCTATTGCCAGATTTGGTTTCCCAGACAGGAATAAATCTATTTATTCCCAAACAGGAATAAATCTGTTATAAACTGAGATTTAAATTATGTAAAGTGAAGAAAACATCGATCAGTTTGCGCAATGGGATACCTGGCCACTCACAAGATACATATCTACTGAAGCAACTGCAGTGGCTGCAGTTTCAGAGCAAATTTAAAATTTTGCTTTTTAGAGCCCAAGCAACTTCAAATTTGGAAATCTAAATTTACATCTATACAAGTAAATCAACTCATATAAGTTTTCAACAAATGTGTTTCTGTTTCAAATTTCCGGCTGATGCTTATGGGCATTTCTATGTAGCCCCAATTTCATTCCAGAGTTTCTGCACACTATTTTGAATCCAGCCATGGGATTATATTGGCCCATATTGGTCCAGTAATCTAATGAAAATACTCTAATCTCCATGAGCAAACAGATGCCTTCCGCCAGAAGCCAGACAATAAGACATAATTCAGCCTTGTCCTTCGAACTGCATAGATTCTTTCATAAGAACAAATCCACTCATCAAAATTCCACAACAAAAAACATTTTTTGAAAATAGCTAGCGTCCACCCTTTTTTAAAAACACTTCTGCACTTATGTAATTGCAAAGAAGCTGATTGGTGAAGCTTTAAAATCTGCTGTTGAATTCTTCTGAGCAGGAAAGATATGCAGAATGCTGTTTGCACAATGCCCACCTATGAAGAAATTATGTGCAGTTTTCTGCACATTTAAAGAAAGGGGATTTCTAGACCATTAGAACACATTTCATTCTAAGGGAAAGTCATGGGGCCAAAATAAGAAATTTGCAATGAAGATGCCTTGATATGGCAGCAACAGAAAGGAAAGAAAGCACCTGTCCTGAAGCTGGGTTGTCATTGTTGTCACCATGGAACTGCTCTCAAAGCATGCCAGGTTTGGCCCTTCACCAGGAAGCTGCTGAAAAGCTTTCTTCCACAAGTTGTGCATGGTGGCTTCCTTGCAAGACCAGGGGAAGAAGGTTTCACAAGGCCAGCAGCTGGCTTTTGAAGTGCTAAGTCCCCCATTTGTCAGCAGTTGGACCAAGAAGACAGCAGAGGTCAGTTGGGGTAGGTGATGAAGGCAGTAGGGGCTGAGCTGGAGCAGCTGGGCTTCCTGCAGTGGCTGTGACTTTGTGCTGCACTGCATATCAGAGCTTCTTGCAGACCAGAGCCATTGGACATCAAGATTCATGACTGCATTACTTAGCAAAAGAAATTTCAGTCCCAATTGCCATCATAACTGGAGAATACCTACAGTCAACCTCCTCAGCCAGCTACTTAGTCCAGACATATCAAACTCGTGATGTCATGTGACGTTGCCCGACGTTTCGGAGCTTTTTCCCCATTGCCGACAATGGGGTGGGCGCGGTTTCCTTGTGATGCATCCGGCCCGTGGGCTGGCAGTTTGACACCCCTGACTTAGTCCTTCCACCATCTTGTTTCCACTTGCTGCTTTCAACTGATCCCAAGATATTGTTTTCATTTCCCTATATGCTTGGGCTGCAACAAAGGTTGACTACTAATGACTTGCTTACACCCAAGAGTTGGGGAAGCTGATGAGGCGAGAGCTATGCCAAAAGAGCTATGGTCCACTTGCAAGCTTCAGCACTGCCCCCACCCCAAAAGGATATTTTTGCCTTGATTGGTACAGTGGCAGAAAAATAGCTCACTTAACCCTTACACATGCCAGGGAACAAGCAGCCCAAGAGCATCTTCTGAATGGCACAATTTTTTTGCACTGAGTTACTTTAACCACCCATCCTGCTGTTAAAAGAGAAAGATGTAAGCATAACTTTCTAAGAAATCATGTTATGGTAAATGTCCTATTTGGGTTAATCAGGAAAGATATTTGCAGGTCCTGATTTTTGGCTACCATAACATGATTGTCCTCTCACAATGAACAACAGCAACAACAACATTACAGCTCATATGCTGACATGTGTCACAGTGTCTCCTATGTCTTCAAAATTCCCTGTTCGGATACACAGCACTATTTCATACAGTATTAGAGCCAGGCAGGGTATACTGAATTACTGACTAACTGCTATTCACCACTGAGGTCCAAAACATTCTATCCATAAACTACTCACAGTGCAGGAGTTTCAGAGGGTTGGTGCCAAAATACAAGTTTTGAATTACAGAATAAAGCAGGGCTGGTCTATAGGATGCAGAAATATGGGGTGGGAGGGGAAAAAAAAAAAGCCAACGGACAGAGTCAGTGGGTTATCCCAAACTAGGATGTTAGTTGCAGAAGCAGCTGAGAAGTGAATGCAAGAATACAACAAGGTAGGTAGGTTGGTGGCTATGCCATGATAGGATGTTGGCAGCGGATGAGTGGATAGGAACACACTGGCAAGATTGGAAGTGGGCAGACCAGTGGGATATACCATGCTGGGAACTGATGAGAACCTACATAAAACCAAATCCAGGATGTGATACAGAAATATATTCTCAGAGTGTTTTGAACCTTGGAGAGAGCTAAAATCCTAATATATGAACAGTTTTAGATTATATCTTACCTTCTTATAAAACCAGAGAAATAATGTATTGCTTCAGCAATACTTCAAGAAATATAAAAAAATACTAAACTTTAAAAGTATAGGATTTATAGTAGTTTAAAAGTACATGATTTATTGTAGCATATGTTTATATAGATGGTTTCTGACAGACTATCACATAAAATATTGTATAAAGATTACTGTTTTTGGCAAACCAATGAGGTTACACAATGGAAACCATAAAACACTTAAATTTATGGTACAGCCAATCTAAATACTATGAGTGATTAATAATTCTATAGTATATGGAACTTTTTGTCTTTTCAGAACTTCTTTCCCACTATGGAAACTTCTGAATTTCCCACTATGGAAACTTCTTTAATTTTAAAGAGGAATGCTATTTCTAAATATAGGGAATTGTACCTTTTTTGTAAATAGTTGTTGCTCCCTCTCCTGTAGCTGAAGGCTACGTTCGGTGCCTGATGCTCGTCCATACTCCGTTTTTTTATTCAATCTGTTTCTCCAGTCTTCCTCACCTCTTTTCTTTAGGAGTGCCAGCCTAAAGAAAAGAAAAATATATGGACTTGGTTAGATCTATTAATGTAAATTTGTAACCTAATGTATTCCACTGAGAATTCTATCAATAATGGAGACAAAGCAGATTCTGACTTTTTGACATAACCATACTTTATATTTTAGTCTATACTGTACTGAAAAAAAGATTTAGTGACTAATCCATGATACAGTCATTAAATAAAAGTAATTTGACATAGATACAATGAATCCTGGATCATTTAAATGTCACATACAAATAAAAATCCAATAATAAGTGATCTTAAATTCTTCTTTTGAAAAATATATGAAGAGTTGCGTTTATTCTTTTAAATACTAAAATGGCATTCTTTTTCATCTTAGAATTATTTTGGGCAGAAGCTAATGAAGCCCAGACTGACAATTAAAACTGAGAAAGAAAGGACGAGATTGCTGCTGTTGGGTTGGGTATTAACAAGAGCACAGCATGGAGATTTGCTATTCCCTGCTCAGACATCACACGGAGTTCAAAAAGGACAATGACAACTTAAAGCAAATTCAGACAAGCGCTACCAAGCAGTGAGGTCTGAAAATAAGCCCTTTGAGGAATAGTTACTCTCTTGTTACTAAGTCCTAGTTTTAGTAACTTACTCCATTTCAGCAAAAAGAATAATGTGCTGCATGAACCTTGGTGCAGCTGTGGCTGGTGGTGAAGTGGGAGCATCAGACCCCAAACTTAGGATGTTTGTTTACTGCCCATTCTTCGTTTAGAACTGGCATCTCAATCTTGCTCACATCCCATCCCCAATTCCAAATTGTTTGTATAGGTGGGGACATATGGCGCAGTGTCTCATATAACCAAAAGTGTTTTTAAAGAAATGCAATGCTTGTTAGAATTTTCAAAATAAGACGGAGAAATGGACCACTGAATTTCATCAGCAGAGGACACTGTCCAGTCTCCACTTGAGTTTCCCCCCCACTTTTCTCAAATGAAAGCCTACTTCTTTTTTTTTAAAAAAAAATATCTCCTTACTCCTTTTTCCTCATCAAACTAAGCCTGAGGACAGATGAATAAATTCAATCATATTTTTCTGTTATAAATGGAATATTACCCTTCTCTTGTTTCATGTTGCCTATCTGTTCTTCCCGTTTTCCCTTACAGAAAAGAAAACCTTAAGTGACTGACATTATACAAAAAGGAATGTTAAAAGACAAAATAAACATTATAAAATATTATCTGCCGTTACAAAAATTACAGTATGATTATAAGCAAACCGAGCTTGGTCCTTAAGGAAATGACATATTCAGATTACAGATGATGCAAAAGTAATGAGCAACTTATCAATAAACAAGAGGATAAAAAAATATAATCTACAATGTAGACAAAAATATACACAGCTGTACCATCTATTCCAGCAGCCAATTAGCAAATCATTTGAACTTAATCTGATACCTCTATCACATGGCAAGTAAATCTACATGTGCACTTGTGTTTTGGTACAAATATGGGCGCATACTGTGGTTTTCATTCCTATACTAAGTGTTAAGTTATGTGGAACTGAACATTCTATCGTGTTCAAAGATATAAGCCAGGAGAAATAATGCCCACTTCTTGTCCAAGAGATGTTGGTTTTCCTCTCTTTGAGGGATAAAATGTGCTTATTCAACAGTTCAAGAGAAGTCAGGCTGCAATAGACTGACATGAAAATTAATATTCTCTGTCACCTTGCCAGGCCATTGTTTTCACAATCCCTCCTCCAGAAGTAATGAGCAAGACTTTCCTCCATGGAAAATTTTATTGAATACATGAAAATACTGGTCTTTTAGGGACATTTTTGAGATGACCACACAATATTTCCTCACCATGAAATGTATGAATGTGACAAACTTTGCATTGAGTTCAACACTTCTATTGCTAAGTGAAACAGTTTTTAAGTGAGTTTTTACGACCTTTCATGTCACAGTTGTTAAATGAATCATTGCAGTTTATATGTTAGTAACACAGTTGTTAAGTGAATCTGGCTCCATTGACTTTGCTTGTCAGAAGGTCGCAAAAGGTGATCACATGACCCCGAGACACTGCAACCATCACAAATATTAACTAGTTACTAACCATCTGAATTTTAATCATATGACCATGGGGATGTTGCAATGGTTGTAAGTGTGAACAATCGTCATGTCACTTTTTCCTCGAATGGTCACTAAACAAATGATTGTAAGTTGAGAACTACCTGTAGTCCCTGTTCTTCATGCAGCCTGCAAATGTTACTTCCTTGCTTAAAAGTAAAAAGAAAATATATGCCATGAATTATGCCAAGCCAAATTTCTTACTGTATGAAAATCAAGAACTTGACATATTTCTGAATGTTACTAAAGTGATCAAACTACAGTTTTTACATTGTAATCCTGCCATGGAAAAAAAGATGTTGTGGCCAATAGCTATATTAGGAATTGTATATAATGTAGGCTTAAAAGGAAACTATGCCAAGATAACTTAAATTTTGCACAGATGCTGAATAGTGTATTGTAATATGTGCATTTGTTCAACTGCTATATTTCATTCTGTTTCACCATATGGATAGCGCAAAGCGTAACATTTTTTTTCAGTTTGATACTGACAACATACTTTCATGCCACAAAAAAAGCTTTTTGTTTAAAAAAGAAGAGTGGGAGACTCACAAAATGCTAAACAGCTATATTTTGGCAACAGGATAAGTATAATAAGCAATTGCTTGGTTTGCTCTTTTTAAAGTTAATCATCTATTCAGCTGTCTGATTAAAAACACATTTCAGACTTTTCTCATGTTTGTAAAGATGCCTTACTTAAAAAAGTAACTACCCGGCAGAATTGAGTATAATGTTGTTCTATTTTTAGCAGTCAAAAAGGTGGTTTAAAATATGCAGTGGTACCTTGGTACTCAACTGCTTTAAAACTCATAAAATTTGGTACTTGACGCATTTTGATGTGAAAATTTTGTCCTAGTGCTTGTCATTTTTTTGGTTCTCAACGTGCAAGCTAGAACTTGTAGGTGTCAGCTGCCTCGTGACTTGCTACCTTTTCAAAGGATCACGGGTTAAAGTCACATGGTTTGTTTGGTACTCGACGTTTTTAATACTTGTCACGCCTCCTGGAACCAATTAACGGCGAGTACCAAGGCACCACTATATATAGATGAAGATTGTCCACAAGGAATGTTCTTCTGTATCATTACTGAACTAGACTCCTCCTACAAATAAGAGGACAATCATACACTCAGAAGAGTCTATTTACCTTTCTTTAATGGACATAGTTTTGCTGGATGCATCAAGGGTGTCCTCTGTTATTTCAGCTTTACTGTCACTAAAGCCTTCTTTTCCTAACAGCTCAAAGGTTTCCTGTTGCCTACAGGATAGCATTGCTGCTGATTGAGAAGCACTTTCTGTTGCAGCTGCTCTAAACTCTGAAGATGGTTCACCAATCTCTGAAGGGGAGAAATTCATCATTAGTGCTTCATTGCAAGAACCTCCTGCATGTTTTGCATCAATTAAATCGAAAAATGACTTCTACTTTTTACTCATAACTAAAAACTAATGCTTGTCCTCATAGTTAATAGATTACTGCAGCTTTTAAAATATGTTCCAAGATTTCAAGATTGACTCCTGGTGATTACATAGAGCTCTATATGTCTGGATGGAGGTTTTTCAACTTTCCAGACAGATTTTCAATCTTGGTGTGCCTTGGAAAAGATGCAGCTGCTTTGAATGTGTCGTACAGGTATGATTTTCACATTTCCGCATGCTCCAAGTCACAAATGCTAGCCTAAAAACTAGATACTGTGAGTTCTAGTCCCTTCAGAGGCATTAAACCTGACTGGGTAACTTTGGGCCACCCTCTCTGCCCAACTTACCTTAAGGGTTGTTGTGGCGAAAATAGAAAGAGGAACGAGTATTGAGATTTAAAAAAATAATAAAGTTGAGGTAATCTAAAACAATAAAAATCATAATCTAAAAATAATCTCTAAAAAACAATAACTTTGTTTTCAAATGCCTGAAGTGCTAAGCAATGGTAATATAACGCTTCTACTTTTTTAAAACAAATGTAATTTTAAATGTCCAATTCACTATGGGTTAATGATTCTGATAACCTTTTATGTTATTCAAGCACTAATTTTCGTTGTTTTTGTTAATATTTGTAGCAACCTTCCAATCTGTCTGGATTAGTAATAACAAATATTTCTCGGCAGGTGGCAGCACTTAATTGATTTGGGGTGATTTTAGCCCTGGTTAGATTTTGGATGATAGATTACTGGACAATCCAAAGAACATGGATTATCTGTGTTCCTTGCTTAGTACTTCTGCTCATTATAGTGCAGAAGATAAACTTAATTAGAATTCGGATCTGTAAGACTGCCAATTCAAAGTCACTAAATCGTATTACCTCTGGTTTAAATATATAAAATATGTCTCTATATTAAGATAATTTATGAAAAGTTGGATTCTCCATAAGGTGATTGCAAAATATCTAGTAGGTTTTCCCTGATGAACAAAATTCCCCCCTATATCACATAAAAAAGGAGCTGTGAAAAAATTTCTTTGTTCCTTGTAAAATTAAAAGCACCATGGCTGAAAGCTGACTTTTCAACTTTTCTCAACTCTTCAGAAAGAAATACTATCTAATTTGTTTTAAAAATTTGTTCCATAACACTCTAAGTGATAAGGTTGGGATTGTTTTATTGCCAGGGAATGAAATAATTGCAGCGTGAAAGGTTTTTATATCTTAAACAAACAGTGTAATGATTGTTTTAAAAAAGGTAAACATTTAGAACTAAATATCAACCAATTCTTATAGAAAGAAATATGTTTTAATATCTTGTACAAATATTTAAATACTTGGTTCACATATTATGCCAAGTCATGATTTACTTAACCTTGCTTTTATTAAATCTTAAGGGCTTGATCTGCACAATGGATTAAATAATAAACCATGGTTTACAAATAATGTATTCACTGAATAAAGCCACTATTTTATACAGAAAGGATTTTCAATTGGTTTTTGAAATCAGAAAACAATAAATGTATTTCAGCAAATTTGTATTAGGAAAAAAAACAAGATGAATAAAGAACAATAGACATCTTTAAGGTAATTTATCTTTACTTTACACCCTGTGATAAAATGGGTGGCCAATAAATTTGATAGATAGATAGATAGATAGATAGATAGATAGATAGATAGATAGATAGATAGATAGATAGATAGATAGATAGATAGATAGATAATTAGTTAGATAAAAACATAACTTGATTTTGTCCCTTTCTCTGGGGAGAACAAGACAGGCTATAAAACTATGGAAGATTGATATAAAAATATCACCACTGACTTTATTAAAGAGGGGAAAAAAATCTAACTGTTACATTTGATAATAAAATAGATTTCCTGAGAATAAGTACTAATAGGTTATAATCACATACTGAATCTAGGACAGCAATATTTAATTGATTAATCAGGCAACTAACTCAAAAATGAGTTCCAGTTAATCAGGCAGCTTTTAAAAATGCAGATTTTATGTGTAAGAACTTGTAACGTGAAGGAAGGTTATTTTTAGATTGTAGCTTACAAGGCATGTTGCTTTAATCCCTTTTCCATAATTTCATTTTCACTCACACATATACAAATACACACACACCTTCACCGGGAGCTTGATGCTGATTAAAATTCATATAATGAGGAGATTAAGATTTATTTAGACAAAGAACTGGAAGTGAACCATTTACCTTTTCGCAGTGTTGAGTCCATGACAATTCCTTCCCACTCCATCATCTCCTCAAAGGACTGCCCTTTGACTCCTTGTTTCTCTGGCAGGATGTCAGTGACCTTTTCTTCAGTACGCTCACAAAGAGAGTGTAGGCTAAGCAATTCCATGCTGTTTTTTCTTGGAAATGCATATTTTATCTTTTTGTTGTAGTCCACTGTTTTATCAGGAACAGGATGTGGGGGCTCTTCCTCAATGGAGCTATGCTTTCTTACACCATTCATTTCCCATTTTGCAAATTCTTTGGGCTCTGCTTCTTCATGGTCTCTCAACTGCTGATTGTTCTCTCTTATTTCTAATGAAGGCTGCCACAATTCTGTTTTCAGGGTGTTTTTTAATGACAAATCCATGCTTTCCATTGAAGAGTGGTATTTGAAATCAGATTTACCGACCATCGGATCTTCTGCTGCCTTCAGATGGAGATCTTTACTAAATAATGGTGACAAGGCAGATACCATGTTTGATACAGATGTTATGGTAGTTGGAGACAGAGGAGTGATCTTCTCACTGTCACTTTGTACCTATGGAACGAGATAGAGACTTAAAACTGGTTGTCTACAAGAAAAACTGTGTAATAACCAGCAATTATGCTAGCTATTCATTATTGTAACCTTTCAGATGCTGAGTTGGCAACATGACCGTACAGAAACATAAGAGACTAGTGAAAATGAGAAAGAAGAGAACAATTGTGTTTTCTGCTCCTCTTCTGCCATAATTTTTAAAATGCTGCTTCTGGAAACAATTGAAATTCAAAATTTCTTTTCATCAACTGAGAAGTATATATTTACAAACTACTTTTCTTTAATACCTTAACAAACCTACAATCATATAGGCTGGCTGATGAATGTCATCAAAACAGAAGTAGAAAACCTAGGTCCTTCCCTGATGTTGGATTAGAACGTCTATTGCCCCAATCTCTGATTATGACTAACTGTCTAGCATTCATCTCGAAGGCCACAAATTCTCCAGCTGAGGATTAGGAAGGCAAACTGGCCCTCAGATTCAAATCCTCATTCAGCAGAAAACTTGCTGGGTGACTTTCAGCTGAAGTTTCCAACTAAGTTCATATATATCACAAGTCATCATTTGCTTAACTCTTTTCAGCTGAATTAATAAAGAACTGAATAGCATGGTAATATACAAACAAATCACATTTTGGTTTAGCGCAATGTATGAACTCATTCTCTTCATACAATCTAGCTTATAAAAGTTGCAGGAAACAAGTATGGGGGAAAAGAATTGGGGGTGATCCTTGTATGCAAGTTGGAGAAATTGTAAGATAAAAATATAATAGTTTAATTTTAAAAAAAACCTTTATACTGTATTTGTAAGTATTTATGTATATGATCAGCAAGCATTAGCCTTTACATTTTAATTCTACAATTCAGCTACAGGTATGGTTTATCATTAGTGCTACCACTTTTAGATAAAATTTATAGAATGTACAGGTTTTTTAAAATATTGTTTGCTGCAGAACATGATTATATCCATATTAGCCCAATACACCTATGCAATCATAGGTCAATTGTACTCGAAAAACACCCCTCAATGTTAAAAGAAGATATTTTCCATTTGTATCTTTTTTCAACCCTGAAAGTTAGTTTAGCAATATTGGTCACATACAGACATACCATTCTAAGAGTTTGGAATAAATATAAAACAATTTTTTCTACAGAGATCCCTCTTTGGGTATCTCCTTCCTGCCTCCCCCCTCCCCTCCCGGAAGCCTTTTTCAGAAAAGAAATGGTGGCAAAGCTGGACTGGTGGACTTATGGTAAAATACGTAATATCCTTTAATTTTGGTGATCCTACCCTCAAATTTAAGGAAGAGTTATAATCAAAAGCACATGTCTGCCATTGGTTTACATATTTACAATTGAAAGAAAGATTTAAATTATATAAAAAGAGTTATGGGTTTGATTTAGTTAAAAATGAATTGGAAATCTTACTATGTGGTACTGATGAACATATTATTGCTAAGTCTATAAAATGTTACTGAAACTGAATTTGGAAAGTGAACATGTGAACTATTGTATGAGTCAGTGGGCAAGGAATGTTGAATATAATGTTATGCTTGAACAATGGGAGAATATATGGATGAAAGGTTTAAAATTTACATTAAACTGAAATTTAAAAGACCATTTCTGTAAGATGATGTATCACTGGTATTTAATACCAGATAAGTTATCCAGAATGTATAAAGGTATTTTTTCAAATGTTGGTAACATAAATATAAAGAAGGGATCTTTTATCATTTATAGTGGACATGTGTTAAACCAAAGAAATGTTGGAGTAAGATTCAGATTTTGATACAGAAAATTCTTAAAATAAATATAAAGATAAAACCAGAAACTAGTTTAATGGAAAAAGACTTGGAAAAAAAAGTCTGGAACTTTGATGTTATATATGTTGATGACAGCAAGACTATTTTATGGAAAAAAATGGAAGGACATTTCGATCTCCACAATGGACTAGTGGCTGCAAAAGCTAACAGAGTTAGAAGAGATAAATAATTTGACTGCTTTGATCAAAGAAAATAATATATGTACTTATGTTTCTACTTGGAAACCACTTCTGGACTTTGTGCTGAAGTGGGAAAAATGAAACTTTGATTTTGGGTTTTACTGATTAGATAGATTCGTTGTTATAGAAATGGCTAATTTATACTATTATGTAAAAGTAAAAAATTGAAGTTTGATGTTACTGTTTTATTCTACTGCACTAGAGGGAGTCAGAAATCAACGTCTTTTTTTTTCTTTTTTCCCTTCTTTTCTACACTTCTTCTTTCCCTCTTCCCTTCCTTTTTTCCCTACTATTTCTGTATTTTATATTATAAACTAATAAAAACTGTAAACATAGCAGTATTGGTCACATACAGATAAAAATAAGATAGACACAATTCTTGAATATGCTCTGGTTACTGACTCTAATAAAAATTGTGTTCAATTATTGGTTATAAGAACAGCAGCAGCAAACAACTTGCCTATAAACTAAATCATCTAAGCCCTGAAGATAATCACAGCCCATGTTTATCCTATTTATAGGCAAGTTGGTTCCATGCAACAGCTGGGCCTCTGAAGTTAAATTTCCAATATGGAAAGAATTCATGGTGTACTTGTACCTAAACCAAGAGGGATTTATTTTTTTACCTAGTAAACATGTTTAGAATTAAAGAGCAAGCATATAGCTTTGGGAGTTCAGGACTAGAATTGTGACAATGAGAACTTTAGATCTGCTTAGGACAATACATCACCTGCATATTTTCCTTTGTAAGACAGGAAACTGATACTGCCAGTTTCATGTACTTCAAGAACTTACAGAATTTATGTGGGACAGCCTTTCTATTTAGAAATGTCAGTTTAGGTAGAACCCAGCCATCAGATACCGATATAACCATCTTATTAAAAATCATGTAGCATCGATATTGTACAGTCTTCACTGGGTTGCAAAATTAAAAATAATTTTGTACTGACAGCTACCTTGTATTAGAAAAATGTGTTTAAAGTCTGCCTCTTGATAAGAGGTTATCTCTACATGCTGAGGCACTAATCACACAGCTTGATTAACAGCAGTGAAGCTGCTGTCAGATGACATGCTGGACCACATTTTTATGCAAGCAAGTTTGGTGAATGAGGCAAATTAAATTCCAATGTGGACAATTTCTACTGAATAAATGTGACATGGCTGAGTTGGGAGCAGAAGAAAACATTTGCATTTGTACCTGCTCAACTTCTCCAAGAGTGACAGGCTGAGTTTGATAACGAGCTTTCGATCTCCTCTGTCTAAGATCCCCTCTCTTCTTTACAAAGACTGCCTTTGTTATCGGTTGAGACAATTTATTAAATAAGGCCATCTTTTCAGCCAAACTCAGGGTTGAAGAATCTGGTTCTCCAGACTGATCTTGCTCAGCAGTATCTTGGGCTTCCTTTATTTCTTCTCTGGCTGATGTTTTTTGGTGGGCAGATGCTTGCAACCTTAAAGGAAACTTCAGAATCAGCAGCTTTAATAACAAATGAGACATTTAAAAAAAAAATCAGGAAAGCTTCAAACAAGACCTAGGAAAAGACTGGAACAAAGTGTTGGCAACTTGGTTTTGTGCAGCTGGATCTGCATTATCTTTTCTTTATCATATATTCCATACTTATATAAGGGCAGTGTTTTACAACCCAAAAGAGTCATAGCAATCATTATCGATGCCATGCACCAATTTACATTGTGTAGCCAAATATCATCGTAAGACAAAGGGTATGTAATCTTGATGAGAGGCTCTTCTGAACTCTCTAGCCATTAAATTCAACATTTTTCTTTAAAACTCTCATTTTGATTCTTATCTGTTGTGAACATAGCAAGACATTTGTGGTCATTTTCATAGTAACATGCATAAAAGAGTACAATGCCCAAACTTTTGAACCACATTTTACTTTCACTTTGCAGGAATCCATTCTTAGAGTGAGGGATATACTCCACCTTATCTAGCTTCCACTCACTGCTTACATTTTAAGAAAAACAGTGACTATGCTAAAACAATATCTATTCTATTGCTATTGCTTATGTGGTCTTTCAAGCTGGTATTATCCACAAAAGGAAGTGGGGAAAACATTAATCTTTGTGCAGCATGCTCAATTCATGGGGGGAGCAGGAAGGACTGAGCAAGATGTTTCGTAAGATCCATAGTGAGCACCACATGCATCGATTTTTACATGCAAAACAGGCAACAATGACAGCAATACTATTACGTGGCAATTATTCCAAATTCTCTATGTTTGCTGTATTGGTCTGGGATATACGTGTGTGTGTGTGTGTGTGTGTGTGTGTGTGTGTGTGTGAGAGAGAGAGAGAGAGAGAGAGGGAGAGAGGGAGGGAGTGTGTGTGTTAGGAAACTGCAACAAGATTTCTCACACTTCACGGGAAGTCAGCAAAGTAGCAGTGGGCATTAATTCTTACAGGTTGAATCAGCATAAGCTTGTGGGATCAGTATAATTATAACTTCCTCTAATCCTATATTTTATTCTTGTGATTAAATACAAAAGTTAGAAAGTCCTCAAGAATACTTTATTATACACAACCTTTACATAGCTGGCAGGGTAAATTAAGAATTATATTATCTTTTAAATGTTCAATCTCGCTAACCTCCTGCTTGCATTCACCAATTCCTTTTCTCTTGAGCAATTTTGTTCACAAACATTTTCCCAATAAATATACAAAGACATTGGAAAACAGTCAAGAGTGATGGAAGGATGAGCCACAATGATCTATCTTGTGGGTAAAAAAAGATATTTGTTAATCTATCAATCAATCTTTGCCATCTAAAAATTACAATCTGGCATGGTCAACAAAAAGAGAAATCCCAATAAAATCACTAGGCTTTAGGAAAATTCTTCTCGTCATATTTTAATCTTTCAATTCTGTTTTTTTTTTCACCTCTCCAGTTTCTTTTTTTACAAGTATTAAGCAGCTGAAGGGCAACCCAAATAAGAAGAGGAATTTATGCTTACACCGATAGATGGTGCAATTGCTCATCCTTCCATTAATCCTTCTAACTGTTAAAGAGACTGGAGACAGGAAAGTGAAGGTCCATGAGTGTATCTGACTTTCTCCATGCGTTTCCCCCCCTTTTATGTTTGAGAATGGGACCCTCCCCCCCAAAAAGAAAGAAACCAGATACTGTGCCTAATCTAAAAGCTCTTGAATCAAGCGTGCAACAAGCAAAAATGTTTGATTGCTTTTGCAGTAGACAAAGAAAGGTTTTCATAAGAAAGACAACCATTCTTTAAAGGTCTTCAAATCATACAGTACGCTTGCTTTTACAGATGCATTTGCTAGCAATGACGCTTGCGTTCCCTGTAACATGCAAGTTGCATCCTTCAGTACCTGGTAGGATGTACAGTGCTCTTAACTATAGTGGGATTAGGTATTCTTGCCACTACAGTGTGGGTATTCACAGTACATGAGGCAGGGGTAGATTCACTTTAAAAAAAAATAGCCAAGTGGAGGAAAAATTCACAAGGAAAGAAAAAAGAACAGCATTAAGGAAAGCATATAGTTTTCACTATGCAAGATGATATACATAGCTTTTCCAGAGTTGAATAAGTTCAATAAATGTTTTATAAAATTGCATTTCCAAGGCCAAGTTATCTGTTCACAGGAATGTTTCCCAAAAATTTAACTGATTTTCATGTTCTTATAAAATCTTATCTACAAGAGCATAGAGATTTGAAGGAGAGTCACAGGATTCTGTATTCATTATTAGGAGGGTGCATGCGTTTAGAAGGCTTCTGCTCTTCTGGTAGATTATGAAATTACACTGGCAGAGTTTTTCAAGGAAGGTGATATATTTGATTTCATTTATAACACCAAGTAATATCAAGTATATCCTGTTATCATCTGTGATTTATTAATTGTAGTATACATATACTTTGTCCTGATTTAATGACTGACTCCAAAAACTGATTGTGGTTCCCCTTAAGCTACCATAATTTTCCAAAAATTGTTCCCCCTCTGCTAGAACCCCTTCATAATTACCTAGCTATAAATACTTCATGAATGGAAACACAACTGTCTAATTAGCCAAGCCAAGCAAATATTTTAGCTAACATATTTCCAGGACTTACGTAGCAGCAATGACCACCTCTTCCGTTGTAACAGGTTGCGTGTGTGATCTGTCTTGCATCCGTCTTAACCTTCTCTCCACAGCAGAGTTTCTTGAATGTGGTTTTGGAACACTTTTATCATCAAGTGATTTTTCCATTTCCTGAAATGAAATATATTGTCAATTTAAAAGGAGGTCTTGGGTCTTAGGTCAATACATTTGTAGAGAAGAAATCTCTAGTGCATTATGAGAGTTTATACTCATACAATGTCTCCTTAAACTTAAGTAGTGAGAAATTTAGATCTTCTCAGAAAAACAAAATACTTACTCTGAAAAGCAACCTCTTTGCAGCAACGCTCAGCTTAGCTCTTTCATCTAATTTCTCTTCATCTACAGAAAAAATGGTGTATTAGGCTCTAGAACAGACAATTTAAATTGCTCCCCCACAACTCCTGCATACAATATAGGCCCTGAGTTTCAGTAGGTAAGCCCCATCAAATAATCATCACTCTGTGACAAAGAATTATTATAGTGATGACCAGCAATCACAAGAAACTCCATCCATTTGGTTCCTTGATGAAAGAATGGCATGGATACCAGCTGAAAACCCATGGGTACTACAGAATGTATGGAGTCATGGAGATGACCTTGAAGAAGGCATCTAGAAATTGTTAGGACAATCTATGTTAAGTTCAAGCAGGTGGAAAAGTACTGAAGAAAGGTTCAGACTGTCTCTCCTAAATCCTCAGACTACAGCAGAGAAAACATGGACAGACTTGCAATATTCTGTACTACAATCTATTTAAATAGAGTTCTAATCTCCCTATAGAATCAATGTCTTCATCTGGGTTTACCTTGTAAGGCTGACACAGAGGCCATGAACACCTGAGCATAACCACTGCCTATAGGTTGGAACACCATCCTAAAGTCTACTCCAGTTAGTTCAGGAACAAGAGATACTGTGGGGCTGATAAACAGGCAATGCTTCAACACAATCCTTTTTCTGCCCGATACCTCTATCATCCAACAGATCTTTAAGTTTTATTGAAGTTTATTACCTGATGTCCCCAGAGGCAAAGCATTTAAAACAGCAGCAGTCAGGGCAGTCAGGATTTTTTCATGTTAACTTTTTTTTATCAATTCCCAAAATTGATAGCATCTAGGGCAGTCTGCATTTGCAGCAAGTTTGCACAAGTTGAGACCAGATGTGGCCTTTAGAGTTGCTGTTTGATTTATTCATTAGCCCTTAGACCCTGACCCTTCTGATGGTATCCTTTATTTTAGTTCCAAAAATTGTCTTATCACATCAACAAAGAAGCAAGACCTGGCCCGCCTGACTTACTCTTGAAAGTTAAAAGAAGAATGTATTTTTTGATGGCTATAGCATAAAAGCACTGTCTCCTACATAGTTCTCTAATGTCAAAATATCCCTCTTTGAAAATTAGTCTGTCTTTTTTCTCTTTGCTTTCAGAACAGGTGTTTTTGAAACATTTACTCTCGGCTTGTCAACTGTAAATTTGGCAGATTGAGACCCAAGCACTATGTGATGGGGTAAGCACCTGTGTTTCCCCGGCTCCTGTCAATCTAGCTATTTGAAAGCATGCAAATGCAAGTAAATAAATAGGTACCATTTCAGTGGTAAGTAATAAGGGTTCTGTGTACCTCAGCATAGTCATGCTGGCCATATGACCACTGAAGTGTCTTCGAACAACGCTGGTTCCCTCGGCTAAGAAATGGAGATGAGCATCGCCCACTACAATCAGACATGACTGGACAGGGGAAATCTTTACCTTTTACCTAGTTCACCAGAACGTCACTAACTGCCCTCATGGTGTTGAATATATTATCCTTATGTTTCATTATATCTTATGTGGTATTGGCTGGGTGAATCCCCTTTCCCACTCTTTAACATCCATATGGAGCCAAGAGGATGTTTGTGTAATGTTCAGATTAATTGCCAGTTAATCTCTAAATTCAGATGAGATTAGGAAAACATGCCACTCAGTCCATCTAGCAAAAACATATAGCCTGATGTTTATTTATTAAGTATCAGCAAACATTAAAACAGTGAACTGGGAAAAAACAGGATAAAAGGCAAACAAAAGCAGGGAGAGAGAAAGATATGAAACACACAAATAAGCATACATACACACAAAATACATATATAATAGTTACAACTCCTATTCTGCTGTTGAAGAGGTGAAGGAAGCAATTTGCAGGATGCGGTTCATGTATCCAATACAGGAAAGGTCCTCCAATAGTTTGGAGTGTGGTATCATTATTATATTGTCTGTCCAACGTTATCTCATCACCCCAACAATATAAAGATGCTGTCAATGTCTTCTCTAGGTGGCTGGAGGCTATGACAGTCTGGGTGTAAGAGAACTGGCTGAAGGTGAACTCAAGAAAGACAGAAATGAGAACAGTCTTTTACATTCCAAACTGTTCACCACCTGAAGTTTATCTTCAGCCAGTTCTCTTACACCCCGATTGTCATAGTCTCCAGCCACCTGGAAAAGACTTTGACAGCATCTTTATATTGTTAGGGTGATGAGATAAAGTTGGATAGACCAACATAATAATAATACCACACTCCAAACTGTCGGATGACCTCTGTGTTGGATACATCATTCCCATCCTTCAAATTGTTTCCTTCACTTCTTCAATAGCAGAATAGAAGTGTAATAAGGTGGCTACTGATATCAGTGTTATCTCTGGCTAAGCAAGCGTTGCCTCTGGAACTATGGCTTCTCAACAGAATGGCTAGAGGGACTTTGGTTCACTTTTGGCTGGTGTGCCATTTGCAGCTTCCCTGGTGCTGGAGGAGCTGGCTACAGTAATTCATGCCTTCATTACCATCTGTTAGATTAGTATAATGTACTCTGTATAAGCCTTCCTTTAAAGATTATTAAGAAAGTGGTGGCTTTCTGAAGCCTGTGATATCTTATGCTAAGGATTCTCAGCTGACTACTCATTGGCTTCCAGATATGATTTAAAATGCTGGTGTTGAGTTGGGTACCTGTAGGACCATCTATTCCACCTTAAATTGGACTATCTGGTAGATCTTCAATGATGAAACTCTATAATTCCCCCTTCCAGGAAGTGAGGGGGCTGCAGGAGATGCTTTGGAATGCAGGGATGATGCTTTGGAATCAGACTGGATCCTTTCTCATAGCTTTTAGCAGGATGTTACAAAGAGCTTTTAATTCAATTAATGAACTTTCATTTTATTGTTTGTTATATTGCTTTATTCATATTTGTTTTATGATGCATTTTGGTCTTATTCATTTTTAACTTACTATGGATGTTAAACTGTTTTTATATTATGCTAGCCATGAAGAGTTGCCATATTACACTGGAATATAAGTGTAATAAATAAGAATAAAGCAAAATGAAAATAGCCACAAAAAAGTATGGGTAAAAAAATTCTTACCTTCAGGAGATGGCATTTCTGGATTGAAAGTGGACCTATGGAAATTGCACAAAGGAAAAAGATAAATCAATGGTCTTTCTTTTTACAAAGGAAAAAAATATTCCACTTGAAGTCAAGGAGGACAGGAGAAACCACAAATAAGATAGTGTTTCAGTTTGCAATAATCTTTTGTTTGCAAATAACCTGAAAGCAGGATCGCAAGCAATTCCAGCCAGGTGTAAGTTGCATGAAGGAGAATGAAATCAGATAATTCATTAAATAAATAATAAAAATGAAACACTTTAAAATATTCCCCAATGATTACATCTAGCACTGATGTCAGATTTTTTTAATAATTGCTTAAAACATTATAGATTGAATCTATTTTTATCTTAGAATGCATGCTGAACTTTTAAAGATAACCCGTTTCCTGTACCTAATATGGAATAGAATGTAGTTATGTACATGTGTGTGTGTGCATATGTATGTATGTGTATAATAAAAACACTCCCTCCAAATCAGCCACCTGCAACTGCATTATTAGTCTGGCTGAATAATATTTAACTTTCATTAAAAAAACCCAGAAAGAAATCCTAAAAGACCTTGAAGAGTCTAGTTTATTTTACTAATATAACGTGCAATATATAGACTATTATTCAGTGATCTCAGCTGTACAAATGCGTACCAATCTGTTTCCTTTCGCTCTGCTGAAGTTATGGGCTGAGTCCTAAATCTCTCAGAAGTCTTTCTATTTTCCTCAGGAGAAAAATACCGCCTTGGCCTTCGTGACCTTTTTTCGCTTTGAGCACTGCTCGACAAATCAGTACCTGATGTTTGCATCTCACACTGAGACCCACTTTTTAATACGGCAGAAAGCAGAGAGAGGGAACAACAAAGAATTAGGACGAACAGGGAGAAAAGAAGAATGAGAAAAGAGAAAGATGAAGGTCAAATGTAAGTGTCCCATCAAATCAGTCCATTTTTGCTCACTCTGCATGCTTCCAGAAAAACCATGCACAGAAAAAGTACAAAGTCATTCCATTCCAGCCACCCAACATCAGAACTTGCACTAAGCAAGCAGAAGCATGTATGAACAAGAAGATGAAGGCCAACACTGTGTCAAACATACTAGATGGAAATTACATCGGGTATTTGAAGTGCTGCAGAATGCAACTGATGTTGAGTTTTGAGTGCCGTTTATGCCAAGGACGTGCAAGTGTTCACATCAGTTAAATAGTAGCAGTAGTAATAACAATAATAACCAGAAAATGTCACCTACAGTTCAGGTTTCTTCTTGGCATTAGCAGTTTCCAAAAAGGCATTACGGAGTTGGGCCACAGAGACTTTTGTATCAACCACAGAAATCTCACCATTGGGGATCTTTCCTTCAATGCTTTGAAACTGCATGATGTTCCTTGCAACATGCTCTTTACTTTTGAAAACTTCTAGTTTAGGAGATCCAGTGTGATCAGATAGGGAGCGTGTAAGGAATTTAGGTTTCACAGTAATTTCTTCAGGGGCCTGAACACTCCCTCTAGCACTTCGAAGATACATAACCTTTTCGGTTTTCTCAACATTCTCATGAATCTTCATCTTAGGTTCAGGCATCCACTCCTTAAAGCTCTTTAGATCCTTCTCAACTTTCACAGACTTTAGCTTCACAATTGAATCCTTCTTAAATCCATCTTCTCCACAGTAGGCCTCTCTACTCTTCATTTGCCTGTGCAACTCCGAAGGTCGAACTGCTTGTCTTTCCTTCTCAGCCTCCAATCCAGAATAATCAAGCTTGGATGATCCATATTTCTGAATCAAGGAACATTTCTCATTGTCCATCATAGCATCTGGTGGGAATCTAGTTATGAAGCTGGCATTGGCCTGTATGGGAATCCTGCTAGTGGGATTTCTTTCCGGTTCTTCAGGTGCCACCAATTGGGCTGTATGAGCAATTCCAGCAGGCTGAACATAGCCATGAGCTGGTTGGCAGGCTAAATCAAATGGCTTACTGGCAACCCTATGGAAAGCAGATGTTTCTGACTGAAGAGGCACAACATTAACCGGTACTGGGAGAAATTTTCTTTGAGACATAGTGTCTGTGAGAAGTTCAAGGCTTCCACGAGCACTTTCGTCTTTCACCAGTTTCTCTCTAACTTTTACTCTTTAAGAAAGAAAAATGGATTAAAAAGTGGTTCAGCTGTAACTGAGAAAAAGAGAAAGAGAGAAATAAACATGCACCAACTTTGGGAAGAGACAGCAACATTAAAGTATTAGATATTGTTAAAACAGGAATTCGCAGAGAACTTTCCATGAACTACTTGTTGCCAATTTCACTCCCCTCATCTCATCTGGTCAGTGATTTCAGTGTAGCCACTTCTCCATCTATTTTTTTATTTTCATGCACTAAACAAGGTGTTTTTAACTTTTATGGTCTACAGTGTTAATTTGCTAGGGTAGATACGGAGCCCAATATAGCCAAATTAAGAATAGTTAAATGTATAGTCTAGCTACCTACATCCCTGAAACACATAACTAGGCCATTTGTTCTCAAATGTGTTGAACATGCCACTTTCTAATGTTTGCAGTAGAAAAAACTCCAAGATTCTTGCGGAACAGTGGAAATACATGCACTTTTGACTGCTTGTCATATGCACTCTTATAAAATGTCTGCTGTCGGAAGTGTATCCAAACTTGTTTATGAGGAGGCAAGCTGGTAAAAATATTTCTTATAAATTTTTGAAACCTCCTAGAATTTCCCTCTCCCATTTCATCTTATTGTCTCTTTTTTCTCTTAGCAGGTATGAACACATTCTAATGAAGCCGTGGGCGCAGTCAACCACCATTTCTGGCAAATAGTATCTTGGAAACCTAGCCATCACACCCAATGCTTTGAAGCATTGTTGGAAATATACTCGGCAACTTTCCATTTATTACTTTTAATTAAAAGAATATAAAACAAGTAGAATCTGTTGGGAAAGGAACCTGGTGAACATACACAGGTGTTGGCAGGCAATTTAGCACCTAATTGGAGCTTAATAGATTTCCTGATAAGAATCTAAAATTCTAAAATTATGGACAACATATGTATAATTAGGACTAATTGCTTCAAATATAAACAATGCCAAGTTTCTGAACAGAGAGGAAAGAGAACCTTAAATTTTGGTATGCACGTAGAACTATTATATTTTCAATATATATATAAATGTGTTATTTGTGAAAGACATGTTCTACAAAATATGCAATAATCATAACAGAAAAAATAAGGTACTGCACACTGTATATTATACTGCATATGTATTTAAAAATTCTACGGTATTATCAAAATTGCAGCCTAGATGCCTGCAACTGGGACATGTCACTTCAGTTGGCACTGTCCTATTCAGTCTCCCAATCTTGTGTCCTCTTTTTTGGGCGGGGGCTCCCAAAGTTAGTTTTGACCCTGGCAACTACCTGGACAACTCTCTGCAGTTTTTTGGCAAGATTTTGAACTCATTTGCCTTTTTCTTTTCTTCTAGAGCTGAGAGAAAGTAACTAGCTGGCTTTCTACCTAACCGGCTTTCTATCTCAGTAGGACTAGAACTCACAAACTCCTGGTTATTAGCCTGGTGTCTTAACCACTATTCCAAACTGGCTCTCTTAATCTTGTGCTACTGAAAAAAATGCAGCTCATGTTTCTGGAAGTAATATATCAATATTGTGATTAAGAGTCACTGAAATCCTTAAACATAGTGAATTTGTCATATGCTTATTAAAGCTAGCCACGTGCTAGCATTTGTTACTCAATGAAGGCTCCTTCACTGAGGATATCTCATCTATATGTAAACATGAAGATTTTCATAATTCTAAAAAAAGCTACTGAGTTAAATATTATGGGAAACAACCCAGTATGGAAACATTTCTGCGTTTAGTACTTGCAACTTTTCACAGGCTGTTATTCTGTTGTGTTACTGAATGCAAGGCAAAGAAGTAAGTTAATGACATAAAACTGTGAAAAGAAAGCTTAAATTTAGACAGTTCCACTATATCTATACCTATGGAGCAATTTCTATTAACAAATCATCAATTAATTGTGAGTGAGCAGGATTTCCTAAGGGAACACTGTGCACCAAAATGGTCCATTAACTAGAAACAGTGTTTTATGTTTTATGATTCCATGCCATCAATAAATATTAATGACATTTGTTAAAATGATCATGGATGAATGAAAAAAGAAGGAAAGATTACACTTGAGTTATTATTTACACCACACATCTACATGGTAGAATACCTGGAGGGCCAGTTGATCAGTGAAGTTGTGTCCCCATCTGAATCTTTCTGAAGAAACCAATCGGCTTTTGTTTTCCCTGTACTACTATAGAAAATAGAACTTCAGAAAATGTTCAGATAATATCCAAAACATGTACACTCAACTCCTCTATTGACCCTAGTAACCTGACTGGTAAATCATGGTAAGATTTCAGGTTTCAGCTTAAGAATAGCTGTATGTGAATATAACTAGGGATCCATCTACAAAAGATACTTCTACTGACACAAGACCATAATATGGAAGTGTGCACAAAAAAATATTTTTCTAAAATAGGTCTTACATGTTTAATCTGAATAAGAAATAATGAAAAAATAAGGCAATACTTAATACTAAATTAACAAATGATACATTGACTTAAAAGGGGAATGGGATTCTAAACATCAAGATATAAGACAATTAAAACCTAAGCATTTTCTTATAATCTCTCATATTATTAGTTAGACTGAATCTTTTATTAGAAAAAATATTTATTTTTTAACATATATTTTATTTAAAACGCATAATTTTCAAAGCTTTTAAATATCCTGTACCTGAAAAAACTATGATGCAAGAATATTATTTACTTCTCCACATACCTAAATTGTAATAAATAAATATATACATTTAAATGAGAATAAATTTTATTTATTTTATCTATCTAAGTAGATAGATATGCGTAAGATTGCCCCATTTGTCATTCCTTGAAACTGAAACAAAACTACATTTTAATAAAAATTCACACACTCAATTCTTTATTAATAAGATTTATAGAATAGCTGTTTTAGGCCAGCTTCTCATAGCAACTACTTTTTTCTTGGCTGACATTGGTGAAAGTAAGTAATACTTGTGTATGATTAGGATACAAAAGTGAAAATGAAATTTGGGGTGCATTCATCAGCACTATTTTATAGTGTATGTTTTTTAGGAATTGTCAAAGATGCAACATACATATACCAATGCACACATCAAATTATCTTTTCTTCTTCAAATCCAGACACTGCATAGTCTTACTAAGTTTTGTTAGCTTTTGAAGCCATTTAGAAGCTACACTTTTTCAAATTACAAAACTGGTAAAATGCTAATGCTGAATTACGAGACTGAAGTGATAACAAAAAAGAGGAACAGAGTTCCCAATATGCTTCTCTTAGCCCATAACTTCTTTGTGGATAGGTAACTTTGATCCAATTGTTTCCAAATAAGGTGTACTCCAGATGTATTTGATGTATTCCTGGGTATTTGGCCTTGGAATTACGAGACTTGTAGTCAAAACATATAAAAGGAACATGTTGGGAAAATCTGCTTTACAAATACTTTAAACCAGGAGTCCCCAACCGCCAGTCTGTGGCACTGGGCATCAGAAACTGGGCTGTGCAAACAAGCGAAACCCTATTGGCAGGCTGCAGGCAGCATGCAAAACCACACCCCCTCTGGTCCGTGAAAAACCCTCTCTCCACGGAACCGGTCCTTTGGTGCCCAAAATGTGGGGGCCGCTGTTTTAAACTGAAGAGAATGAAACACTGGGCAAAGAAATGGGGGGAAATGCAATTAGGAACAATTTCTTCAGATCATATATAAAATTCTACCGAGACTATGGGCAATTTTATAAAACAGAAGTGAATTCATGGAGGGCTTCATTGAAAAAAGCAGTAACTGTCATCTGTATAGATCAAAATCTATGGTTAGAGCTTTATTTTCTTGATAATTGGTTTAGAATTTTTGATTAATTGAATAGTAGAAGCATATCCAAAATAATTGACAGTTTTAAGAACTAGCACTTTTGCTTTATCTCTGAAAGCATAATAAAAGTGATGATAAAGTTGTTCAAATGTACTCTACAGAATTTATATTAAAGGACCATAAAGTAATAAAAAGATAATGTCTGCTGCAGCCAGTTTAAAACCCTTGCTGAATACAATGAATCCAAACCACTTATATGGAGGAGTGAATGTTAAGCACTGTAAAGTAGTGCTTCTCCAACTGATTATTTTAGATAAGAAACAATGTATTGAATCAAAATTAAAAAAATCATGATAAACTCCAAAGGTTATTCCAAAAGTTGTTTGTTTTACTGAAATAGTGTTGAAGTTTTTTTTTTCCTAATTTCAACTTCTAAGGAGGTTTATTTAGAGGGAAGATGTATTTGGGAGTGTACTGGGGGCTCTGTGCTGTGCAATCCAGTTTATACAATCAGGATTGACCTGGCTGAGTTCAGATGTAGGCTGAGTCTATTTATCATAAATCTTTTTCCTGGCCTGACAGCCACATGGAACTGGATCAATTGTTTTCCTGAATCAATCTTGTACCTTTTGCTTCTTAAATCTTAAGTCTTGGCCTACTATCTGGAAACCCTTCGCCTAATCTTGATTTCTGTCTGTTGCTCTATGAAATGTCATTATTGATACAGAACTTCGTATGTCCTGAATGTTTGATATAGCCATAATTATATAGTTAGTAAATGTGACTTATGACTGGCTGCTTAGCAACAGTTTGAAACTTTATTGGACACTAAAAAGGGTATTTATGACCTGGATTTAACATTCTAATAGTTGCCCCCCCCGGCAGTCCCATGATTGCATTTTGAGCACATGGCAATTCGCTTGCATTTATGGCCATTTGCAATGTCCCATAGTCATGGGACTGGTGTTTACTTCTAGTTTCTGGTAAAAAATAGCCATTGCAGATAATGGATTTGCTTAACATATGCGGTATTCACTTAATGACTACTGCAAAAAATGTTGCAAAATCAAGCATAATCACATGATGACCAGCTTAATAGCTGGAATGACTTACAACCACAATTTAGGGCTCAGTTAAGTCAAGAACTACCTGTACTGTCATCTACTAATTCTACTATGAGTGGTTTTAATAAATCTCAGCACTATTAAAATATTTTAATCCCCTGTGATAGGGTTATTATTCAAATCTTCCAGGATAGATTACTCTCTTACCTCAAAACAAAACACTTAAGAACATTTTTGTAAATGGTAATTAAAGAATGAAACATGCATTTCCCATGTATAATATACGATACAGAGAAGAAAAATTGATCCTTCAGATATTCTTAAACAATAACTTCCAGTGAACTTTCCCTGTTGATTGGAGACTATCCATTGCTGTTGTCATGTTTTGAAGTGTTAATTTGATTTTTTCAAATTCTTTTCATTCTCAACAAGGCTTTAAAAAACAGGAGATAGTCTCTGTTGCATAACCCAAGATTGGGTCTGCTATTATTTATGCTTGTTTTTCACCCTCTTAATAGAAATACAAAGAAGAATACATACATATTTTTCTTCTTCTTCAGTAGATTTTCAAGCATTCTCTGCTAATGCTTCAGGGAGCTTTTGAATCATAACATTTCATCTGTATCATTGCTTTAATTTCTTTTTCAAAACTCATTTTAGAAGCATTCTCCTTTCCTTTTTCTATATTGTTAGTAATTTAAATAAAATATGACTTATTTCCAAGTATTATTATACCTCTAATATTAAATCTGAGTGCACGATATATGGATAGGATCATATATATCAAAGCTGCTCAGTGAACAATGGCAGTAATAGCAGACTTACCCTAATTTGGGGTCAGTCAGGGAAGGACTTAGTGATGTTCCTGGCTTTGTTGAGGAAAGGGAAACACTTTGAGTTTGTTTTGGTAAACTTGGCACTTCATTTATGGAAAAGTCATAGCCCTGAAGTGAGAAACCTGTGGAATTCTCTGATGCAGAGGGCATATTGTATTTGCTCAAACCAGATTCAGGGGCTTTTCGTTCGCTGTCTTCATTCAAATGAAGTTTTTCTCTTTCCGGAGAACTCTCTTTGTCATCATGGGCAGGAAACTCCTTTGACTCAGAAGCAGCATTCCTCAGCTCCTTATTCTCAAATCTCAATGAATATGGAAAACTGTGATCTTTACTTTCATCCTCTTTTTTCCCACTTTTCAATACTTTCTTCTCAGACACATCTTGGTCCTTCTTTGTCCTTGTGAATTTGGATAAATATTCTGAATCCACATCTGAATCGATGGAGAGTCCATACTTTTCAGCCAGTTGTCGACGTCTTTCTGCCTTGTACCTAGCTATCCTCTCAGCTTTGGATTCAAGTCCTTGGGGATCCATGACTAAGGGGCTGTAAGAAGGGGTTTTTGTTTTTCCTGCAGTGGATTCTGCTTGATGCCTGGATCTAGGCTGATTTTCTAATAGAGAATCTGAAAATTCCTTTTCATTTGTTCTTCCTATAACAACACAAAAAGAATCAGATGTATCAGAGGCCCAATGCTCAGCATAAAGTTTATGCTGGACTTTGAAGTATCCAAGTAATGATTTGAATTTAAAGCATTGCTATTTACCACAGCTATAGTGAAAATATAGGCAGGGCAGCTTACTTCAACCTACAGTCCTTCAAATACCTGGCCTTGCTGGCTGAAATTCTAGGAATTTTATTCTCAACACATCTGAGAAAAAGCTTAACAAAATTAGGGTACAAGCCTTTTACTCTTCTGCCAATTGCTTTTGAGTTAGGAAATCCCTCAGATCTTGGTTATGTTATGTCTGTAGAGTCAGCAATTCTCTGATTTCTACTGCATTCAGAATAAAACAAAATATATTTTTGCAAATATATTTAAAAATTGCTTAAGTATTTAAGGTTAGAGAACAGCTATTTCTAAATATGAGTTGTATTTTTTTAAAAAATAGCACATAACCACAGCTTTTCAATCCTACACTTTTAACACTTTATTTTCTTCCGATATTCAGGCTAACTGTGATGCTGATGGAAACTGATTTTTTGAGGTCCTTATAAAGTCATCTATGCCTCTGAACTGTGCGACACAACATACTGTGAGCTGGGGGTGATGAGCATTTACAATGTGCCACTAGAGAAAGAGAAGGAATATTTGCTTTGAACCTCCTTTGACTTGCAGTTTCATGAATATTTACAGGTAATCCTCAATTTAAGACCAGTCATTTAACAACTATTTGAAATTACAATGGTCTCAAAAAAAGACTGATTTACTACCTATAAAGGACTTGCAGCCATTATAAAACATTGTGTTGCCTCCCTTTGATCACATTTCAGGGTCATGTGACCACAATTTGCAAACTTTTTTGCCAGTTTCCAGTGTATTTTGTTCATTTCTGGCAAAAAAAAGCACCCATTTGGAAGAACAGATTCACTTAAAAACCATGTGATCCTCTTAATGCTCACATGATTTAGACTTACAGTCATGTGATTTACTTAATGACCACCATAAAAACCATTGAAAATTGGACCTGGATATGTCTTTTCCTCAACCTATAATCAAAACAACTTACAACCAAAATTCCAGTAGCAATTGTGGTTGTAAGTTTAGAACCACTTGTATCTACAAAAGAGAGCTGAAGAACCCTTTGGGAAGAGGTTGGGGAGTACCAGTGAGTGCTGCAAGAAGAAACAAAATCAGCCAAAAATTATCTCCATCCTTCTAGTAGACGTTTCTTCAGATCTGATATGGACAGACATATCTGAATTTAACCAATGATAATATACCTTTAAAAACCCTGTTCTAATAGTCTTTATAAGATTAAAAACAGTAACATTCAAAGCCTGTATATCGTAACACCTTAGTCAATGAAGTTTCTAGGAGCTCAAACTTATGACAGCACTTGGACAACATCAACATATATCACAAATGTATTTCTTACCAAAATGAGGGCTATATGGATCAGTTGCACGCATGTATCTTGGTGTATCCTCTTCTAACAAACGATGGGTGACCAACCCAGGACAATTTTGCAAAAGAACAGGTTGAACATCATTTTCAATTCCTTCTAAACGCCTAGCTATCCTCTCTTTCCTGTAAAAGAGAGGGTAAAAATAAGCGAGTATAACATAAATGTCACCTATGGAAAAGGAAGCCGAAACGATTTTTATAAAACCATCTATACTTTGCTTAACATAAAGATGGAGAAATACCTTTTCATTTCCAAAATATCCTGTCTGTTTGGTTCAAAGAGTTTTCTTAATTCAGAAACTAAAAAATAAAAATAAAATAAACATTTGAAATTTGAAACAATATAGCTGTGAAAAGAAATGCTTGTGTTTTCATAAATATAAATTAAATGATACCTACCAATTATTCCTTGTTCAGTTTATCTTTCATGCTTTCCATGGGATTTGTATTATGCAAAAGTTTGCAAGCCACTAACTCTACCAGAATAATATTAACACTCTAACTCAGTGTTTCTCAACCTTGTGATATGTGGGCTTCAACTTTCCGAATACCTTAGTCAGAGAAGCTGGCTGAAGTTGAAGTCCAGTTAAAACAGTGGTTCTCAACCTGTGGGTCGGGACCCCATTTGGGGTCAATCGACCATTTCATGGGGGTCGCCAAGCAAGGCTGTCCGCCATTTTTTTATCCGCCATTTTTTTTGTCCGCCATTTTTTCCCCCTTTTCCAGCGGGTGCCTTACGTCCCTTGGGCTGGGCCAGCTGGTGGTCGGCCTGCTCCGTCTCTGCCGCTTGCCAGCTACGCCTCGGCCAGCGCAGGGGGCGGAACCACGCATGCGCGGCGCTCCCGGGCAGGGAAAGTCCTCGACTTACGACCGGTTGGGTAGTCCTTGACTTATGACCGGTTTAGTCCTCGACTTACGACCGGTTTAGTCCTCGACTTACGACCGGTTGGGGTCGCGGCATTAAAAAGGTTGAGAACCACTGAGTTAAAAGAATACTGCTCTAACTTATACCTAAAATGTTCCATAATGATCTGTAGTCATGCACCAATCTTGATGTATAAAAGCAAAACACATTACAACCTATTCCTTATCTTAAACATGTATTTTTTGAATTACCTTAACTGTCTTTCTTCCATAGCAGATATCCACAAAAGACTTTTAGAACACCATGTCACACCTCTTCTCTGCAAGGTTTTTTTCCCCAGGCTAATTCAAGATGCTGGATTTGACTTTTAAAGCCCTTCATGGCATGGGATCAGGTTATCTGAGGGAATTTCTGATTATCTTAGCCCATCCCATAAGATCTGATAGACATCTGCTAAGGATTTCGTCTGAGTGGGACCTATACTTGATGGGGTCTAGGAGGTGGGACCTCTCTCCCATAGGGTCTTCCCTCTGAACTTAGGTAAACTCTGTCCTTGTTAACATTTAAGAAGTCCCTCAACACCTGGTTATTTAGCCAGGTTTGGGGATTCCAGGGAGCCAGCAACATTTTAAGGTGGCTCTCATTATGGGTAATACTTCTCTGTTTATGGCTCTCATTATGGGTAATACTTCTCTGTTTATGGCTCTCATGATGGGTAATACTTCTCTGTTTATGGTCTGTAATTTTAATTCTTTTAATGATTTTTATTTTTTTTAATAATAATTGTCTATATTTTTATAACTTTTTATGATTGCTTAAATTGTACACTGTTCAGAGTTGGGTTGCTATGTAAGTTTGATTAAATAAATAAATATTACTACATTGGCAATATAAGCAATGGTAGTAATATTATCAAAATGATCATTATTAGATGCATGGTCAGGAGAGTCTAACATTTTGTGTCTTCAAATCAGTCTTGACTTTTGATAATTCCCTGGACAAATCTCTATAGCAGGCGTCTTCAAACTTGGCCCTTTTATGACTTGTGGACTTCAACTCCCAGAATTCCTCAGCCAGCGTGCATACAGTCATCTTGTCCATACTCACAATTGAGTCGTTGAAGAACAGATGCAATAATGCAAGTTTGCTTTGGGTACTATAGGCAAATATGGTGCAATTTTGTAGGCCGAAATAAAAGCAGTGGCCTTGAGTAGTATTTCCCAAATCTTTTCTAAGCAAGACTTGAGACAAAAATAGCACACCCAAATCTATCTAGGGCTATGAATTTTCCATGCTTTAAATTCCAGAGAGGTCGTATCAATTACCTAGTTTAGATCCTATCTGCATAGAGAATTGTTAATATATTTTAATTCTAATGTCAATACAAGTTAATACACAGACTTCTACAATATGTTCATACAAGTAAAATTCACATCAGGTTACATATAAAAATATACATACGATCTTATCCTGGAAGACACATTAAGCGGTGCTTTTTCTGCACATCCTACAGTGTACAGTATAGGACACTAGTGCAAATCACCTATTTACTCCTTTCACAATTCTATTAAAGGTAAGTCATTTCATATAGATATGCTAAATAAAGTTTAGCCAAGTGTTTCTTAACCTTAGCAACTTTAAGACATGTGGATTTCAATTTCCAGAATTCCCCAGCCAGCACAATTTAACAGAATGTTTAGAAAAGAAAGACAAGGCATTTTAAAAGTATGTGCCTTAGTAATGATCTGTCCCAGATTTTCTTAAATCTTTTTATCTTATGGATTTTGCATGTGGAATGTCAGCAGCAACTTCATTTAGCATGCTGCCTCCATAATATAAACTGGGTTATGCTAAAATATATTCCATTAGTAATCATTTTGTTTAAAAGCTGTATGTTGTTCAAAGTATGTTTAATGAACCCAACAGACACATTTCAGGAGTTGAGATATGCAAGCCCCAGGAATATCCCAACTACACCACAAATATACCAAAGTAATAAAAGACAGAGCATATTTTGGCCTACATCACTGTCTTTAAAGGAGCTTTAAATTACAGAAAGGAACAGTCTCCCTGTTATAATTAAGGAAGAAATATCTGGCAGAAACTTCTTAAGACATAAAATGTTTCCTCTTAGATACAGATCTCAGGACAGTATTTTTCAATTTCTTTTAAAAGCAAAACTGAATGCCTTATTGTAATTCCAGCCACAAGAGAAAGGCATATAGCATAGTTTAATAATGATATCTTGAGATAGTCCAAAATAAAGAAAAATTACTATAAATTCATATAAACAAGCCTATGAACATTCTTTTTATGCATTGCTCCACTTATGATTAGTTCCTGTTGCAATGAGAACCTCAATCATTTCAGGGAAGCAATGTGGTAACAAACATTTATCAAGAACAGTCAAAAGATTCAAAGACAGAATAGCTGCACTTAAGGGAAACTACAGTCTGATCATCTACACCTGTGCAAAACAGCAATTGCCTTCTTCTATAATAAGCAGTGAATCACATAACAATGTTATCTGGAGTGGATCTGTAGTTACAACACACTGAGGTCCAGGGTGAACATTTAAACTGAGTGTGAGAAATTTGTGCACAAAGGCTGCATGTCTCCATTCTGAATGGAGTCAATATTTACACCAATTTGTATGTGGGAGGGGAGCTGGAAGAGTTTTAAGACATGAAATAGGTATTAAGCACACTTCTCAAATCCCAATTCCTAACAAATTGTCTGAATTTCTCCTCCTCACCTCTCTCCCTTTCCCTCCCTCCCTCTCTGTGTGTTTGTGTTCATGTATGTGTTAGTGGAATATTAAGGGCCAAATGTTCATTATTTAATTTCCCCCCAAATTCTCTGATGAAAAAAAAATCTTAAAATTTCAGGTCTGCTCATTCCAGTGATATCACATAATATTATGTCCACTTTAAAGATCTAATTGGATGCAAGTCACTGAATGAAACAAGATATATGATTCTAAACAACTGCAATTAGGCATGGACTTTAAAGACAAATCTCTTTAAGAATAATTTATGATTCTCAATATAACTGATCCTTTATAGCTTACATGTGGCATGCCAGAATAAACATCTAATAAACGCTCTCCCAATTTTAGTTTTTGCACCCAAACGATGAAGTAATGATATTCATAGCAAAGAGCTGATGGATATTTGAGTTTCATTGTTTGGATGCTAAAACTGAACTGTTGGAAGAATATATATTAAATGTTTATTCTGCTTTGTCACATTTAGCATGGACTGAAATACATTCACTTCCAAAATTAAGTGACTTATAGTACATACATTATGATACTGTTTATAAAGAAAACATGACTATTACAAGCCTTGTACGTACCTTTTGGCAACACTGCTAAAAGACTGGCATCAATATCTTTAGTGCTGTTTGAAAAGTCTTCTTTATCTTCAAACGAAAACTCTTTCTGAAAACTGAAGCATCATCATCTTGTTTTAACAAAGCTCCAGATATTAATCTAGTTACAGTATATTAAAACACAGAGATTATTTTTATCATACACATAATATGGAGTAAAGAAGATCAGGACCAGTTCTCAACATTGCCCAAAAAATAAAGAAGTGAGATTACAAAATTATAGTCCATATAATCATGTTTTGCAGCTGATAATTCTTTTGATTTTAGTATGGAACATAGTATCTCATAACACAGATACTAATCTTCTCAGAAACTTCTCTTTTTATGTTTTTATGTTTTATATCCTCTCTATATTCAATGAACAGCCAAAATATTTGCTTGGCACAGTGAGACATTTTTCAATTCTTAAACCTCCCAATTCTTAAAACTTCCGATTCTTAAAGCTCCAAGCACAATTAAATATGTTGGTTCTGCCTAGGTAATCCATTTGACATGTTGGATATAATTCATATAACCATTGAATATCAGCCATACTAGCTAGGGGTTTTCAAGGTTTCAATCCAATTATTTGGGGACATCAGCTGGTTTGGTATGAGATTGCTTAAGAAACAACTGTCTACTCTCATACAAACCTGCATACCATGCATATTTCCTATCAAAAGCTAATAGAAGGTTATCAGGACAAGGGGTTTTTTTAGTTGAAGTCCTGTCTTTGCAAGCGTCTCTATAGTTTAGGAGGTGAAGTGGGGAGCTCTTTCAACCTTTGTTTTAACATAAACATTGATCTATTCTTACTGTACTCTAATTTTACTGTAAATTTCTATTCAGCTCTTTGAATGAAAATGCAAGATAAATTTTGTAACAACAAAACTTGGAGGTATTTGGGGGTAAAGTTTAAAGAAAAATGGCATATAAAGTTATGGAGATTTTAGCTTCTGTTATTCTAAACTGGTTTGCAATTGTCCTGCATGGTATGTATAGAGGACACCAAGGCTGTTACAAGAAATCTGCAGACAGCAATCCTGGGATGTCAAAATGCACCTATCATTGTTGTTCAATTCTCAGATAGTGTTGTTCTTGGATTTTTTTTATTCCTAATTGATGGATTTTGAAGTCTCATTTAGCCTATATCCATACACTGAAAACAAAGAAACTAAGTTCAAATACTTTTAAGTACTGAAAGTATCTGCAACGCAGTACACCATTTTGTAATTTGATATATTAATGTAATCAGTTGGGAGCCAATTCTGATTGCAACCAGATTGCAACCAGCTGAGTATATGAGAAATGAATGCAAATTAGATTTTGAAATGTCCACATATTCCTAGAAAGTTTGCCTTTCTAAAAGTTATTTCTATCAATACAAAAGAATATTTGTAGCTCAGGGATGAACTGTGGGGATACTGGTGCCCTCTGAGCTTGGTTGTTTTCTTGCAGATGTTTCATTATCCAACTAGGTAACATCAAGAAACTACCAAAAAGAAAACAATACTGTGCCAACTTGTATATAAACAATATAAACAGAAAGAAAACCCAACCTTTTTCTAACACTGATGTTGTTATCTAGTTGGGTAATGAAATGCTTGCAAGAAAATAACCAAGATCAGAAGACACCAAGAACCCCACAACTATTCCTATTCTGGAGACTTGGAAGTCAATCTTGATTACACTTCCCTGACAGATTTTCATTGAAGATACATATGAAGACATATATAAACAGTGATAAAGTCTAAACAATTAATATATCCTTCATTAATGCATCCATGTTCAGGTGGGAAAAATAATTTGAAAATAACAGAATAATATATATATAGGCAAAAAAAACCCAACAACAGCCATATAATAAGAAGGCAAAAAATGGCAACTAAGGATAACTCCTCAACAGCTGTTAAGAAAACCTCACAGGCCCCACTAATCTCCTGACTCCTATGCCTGGGAGAACAGTTAGGTTTTGAGCACTTTCCTTAACGCTAGCAAAGTTGAGCTAAGCTAATTATGGGTAATGAGATGTTCCAAAGGGCAGGTGCTATGACAGAAAAGGCACACTTCCTTGTGACACCAGATGTCATTCTTTAATCACTGGGACCTGCAGGATGCCTCTCCTGCCAGGTCGAATGGAGTGAATAGAGGAAATAGGGATACCTGGTCCCTCAAGTATGCCATAAGCTGGATAACAACTAGCTTTCCTCTGGAAGATAACCTTCTAAACTTATTTTTATCATTATATTATTTCCATATAGTTTAAGATATTTCCTCTATGTTTATTAAATTTATGTATGTTTAAAACTTTAGATCATGCATGAAGTCTCTTATAGCAGAATTTACCTCATTCTTAATGAACTTACCTCAGATTCTTAATGTTATGAAAGTGGGATATTAATCACTTGGAAAATTAATATTTTGTTGTAGTATAGGTCATATTTCAAGCAGCATTTCAGTTCAGTCTTGTAATTTAATAACCTAGATAATTTACTTACAAACTTCACTTTAATTCCATTTTTTGAAAGTACAAATTACAATTAATTAGAAGTAATTATTTACAAATTGTAAGACCCAGTTTAGTGTGTTGCTTAAGGTATCATGCTAGAAATTGGGAGTTGGTGACTTCTAACCCCATCCTGGGCACAAAGCCAGCTAGGTGACTGGGCCAGTCACTTTTCTTACATGTTGAATGAGTCAATGGCAAACCACTTCTGAAAAACCTTGTCAAGAAAACTGCAGGGACTTGTCCAAGATTCTGACACAATTAAACATAAGAAAAAAAATACAAATTCTAGAGTCAGTTTTTGCTGTAGTTAAGGTACTGGTTTAGAAACTAGGAGACTAGAATTCTAGTCTTACCTTAGGCATGAAAGCCTAGGTGACTGGGTCAGTCATTCTCAGCCCAACCCATCTGACAGGATTGTTATTGTACAGAAAATAGGAGGAGAAAGGAACATTAGGCATGTTTCCAATCTTGAGTTATTTATAAAAAATAATAAAAGAAGGATTTAAAAAAATCTAATAGATAAATAAAAACAGAAGTGATTATATATTTTTCTGTTACAGCATCCATTGTAAGAAACAGATTGAATATTTTCTAAGCTCACAGTTCACAAAAAGATCATGAAAACACATTTCTCCCTTTTCCTTCTTTTTTTAAAAGTGACCATAAAATATAGCCCACAGAATTATGTGTTTTATTTTTTTTTCTTTACCATTTTAAACCCAGATAGTTTTGAGCAAACTGCTTAGTTATCCTGCCAAATTCTTGTGCTATTGCAAATATTAATTGTGACAAAGAGCTCACTATGTTGTGATATGCAACCTTTTATCCCTTCTATTAACCTAATTGTGATTAACATAAACCCTGGAGAGAATATTGTGTCATTATAGCTAATTTTATCTCTCTTCAAAAGATGCTATCACCTTGAACTCCTATGGGGAAAAGTATCAAAGTTTAACTAATTTCATCTCAAGATGAAAGCAAACATACTACAGTATACAATATTTTTTCAAGGTCTAACCATTTAAGAATCTTATATAAAAATACCAGGTATGCATCTCTTCTACCATTTATTTATTTATGAAAATTTATATGACTACCCAACTCACTCTCAATGATTACGGTTACTTACAAAAATAAAAACTCAATATGAAGACAACAAAAAAGCAATAACTTTCCAACTCCCAATAATCAATCTTCCAGGCTCCCTCCCCCATTCTGGGACTCCTTGGCTGATTGGCAAAACCAAATTTTGGGGCCTTGCAAAAAAATGGAGGCAAATTTTTATCTCTGCAGGGATGATATTGTATAGAGAGGGAGCCACCACAGAGAAGGCCCTTCTTCTTGGTTCTGCTAGATGTACCTCCTTAGGAGAGAGGACCCATAGATTCCCTACCTCCCCACTCTGAAGGTCCAGTAGAAAACGGCCTCTCAAATAACCATGTAGGGCTTTGAAGATGACAACTAGCACCTTGAATTGGACCCGGAGTAAATCGGCAGCCACTGCAATTCCCATAGGACAGATGACACACATGCATATCTAGATCTGCACAAAACCATGTATTTATTGTGGTATAAGATTTTGGATTCAAAAGCCACTTCCTTGAGAACCTAAAATGTGATATTTACCTGAAAGAGGTATATGCACAGGATTCCAACATCATGACCTTAAATCAGTACAAAGGACTTGCCATACTTCTATTTGAGAATTGCATAAAAATATCACAAAATCAAATGTTCATTTTGAAATGCATAATATTTTTCCTTCAACAATTTTGTGCTTGTGTGTCAATTGATTACACACATTAAGGGGTGAGTGTGACCCTATCATATATACAATCACTATAGAGCAATTTCTTTCCAAATCACTGTGGGACTTTTGCTTATCATGAAATAAAGGAAATTAACCTGTTCTTCTTTGGTCTCACTGCAAATTGACTCATTATACACAAGAAGTGTGAAGAATGTTTTACCTTAAAGTCCTCCTCCTGCTCTGGAGTAATCTTGGAGTTTTATACGTAAACAAATTCTCTTTGTCAAAATCTGAAACAGAGTGGTGGAAAAAGTTATCCACCAATACACAATCTGATGGTAAGGAAAAAAAATCTTAAATAGTTAATGGCATTTTGAGCCTTAAATTAGCATATAACCTGAAATGATTTAAATGTTCATATTTCAAAGCAGACAACATTGGGCAGAGTATAGGGATAAAAGAAAGTAGAAACTTATGAAGTATGACTTAGAATTTAAAAATGCTTCTAAATCTTATTTCACCTATGTTTGGTCTGTACAAATCAGTCATATACATTAATTATTTGTAGAATGTGCAAGTGTGTATGTGTATGTGTATTAAATCATACTTCTTTATAGAAGTACATTGTACTTCCATGAAAATAATCATAATCTTTCATAATCCCCAATAATCATCTATTTGATAAATAAGCAGATATTAATAACTAGCAATTTGCTGATATTTCTTAACACAAACAATTTGGTAGGGATAGCTTTAAGAAGTAAAAATCACTACAAAGAGAGATTACCAGACTGCATATCTGATAAAAGCCCTTTCCGTAGACTTCAGTGTCTATACTAACTTCAAAATGATCCCAGACTATCTTGTAGAGTGTCTAGGACAATAATAAATACATAAATTTGCCTGAGCCCTGATAAAATCTCTTATGAAGAGATATTTTTAAGAAGGCAAGCTGTAAACAAAACTGTCAGAAGAGATTATATGAAAAAGTATGGAAGAAAAATTGCACAGCCTTTATCAGCAATAATCCATGACATGGCTGAATCCCCAAAAATGGTGCCACCTGACCATTTTGCATCCATATTTGGCATTAAGTCATCCATGTAATATGTACTAGAATGGGATGACATTGCTGAATTGTTTTTACAAACCAGCAGAGCAAATCACTCCTCATTTTCTATTTTTATCAATTTCCATGATTCTCAATTAAAAGAGATATAAATAGCAAGTAATCAATAAAATGTTAACTGTTCATCAGAAGAGAAATCATTTGGATAATCAGAAACCATTTTATTTCCTCTGTACTGTAAGAGGTTTCAAGTTTTTCCCATTACTCCATAACAAAGAAAACATGCATTAAATTAAGGATTATATATTATATTACATATTATATAGTTATGATTCTGTTTGAAAATCATGGTTTTTGAATTCACACTAACAGTGAAACAATCATATCTTCCCAACTTTTTTTTTTCTACCACAGTTTTATAATATTGCATGCATGAGATAATTTTAAGTTGCCTTTAACTACACACTGGTGTCTCCCTATTTGGATATCTTCTAACAGTAGCCTGAAGTATATAATATGTGTTTACCTTACCTTAGAGGGAAGTCATACAACAGGCAACAATTATAGTTAGGTGCCAGTTCAAGGATGGCGACTAACAATCCATCTTGGCAGAAGGGAAAGGCCTCAGGATCCCCTCAAAAATCATGTTAAAACTATCTACTTGGTACTGCAACTGTTAATAACATTGTGTCTGGTTAAATTAGAACCAGGCACGCATCACATTTTAAATGGTATATAACTCAATACAAGTTCTGGAATGTAACGCTCTCCACCATGAAAGTCTCAACATAGAACACACAGTAGGTTCTTTTCTATCCCTGAAGGACAATACAGAGAAGGATGAAGAAAAGTTATGAAGAAGAAAAGGTCTAGGTGATTATTCTGGCACACTATTACCCATGAATTACCAAGCCACACTAAAATGGTTGAGCCCATAATTTGGTGTATACTTTTTCTAGACCAAATTCCACAATATTTTAATTTGCTATAATCTCAAAACATTCCATAAGTAAAGTTTTTAATGATAATGTAGCACTTTTGATAGCATATTTTTTTAAAAAATCTCATCCTCCCCCCATTTAATTCCTTTCATTTAAACGACATAAATGTGGTGAATGAAGTTTAATGCTCCACAGGTTTAACTGCTAATCCAAAAAGCAAATCGAGTACTTTTTCCATTGCAGAAGTATAAGTATAATTTATCATTCATATACAGATATTAAAACTGTATTAATTAAACTCACTGGCAAGCAACGTTTACATATTTGCAAAGTTTATTAAAGGTTTTTATATGGTTTCTTGCTTCCAAGTTTGAGCTCTTCACTCTTACAATCCTTTTTTAAAAAATATGTTTAAGTCAGCAACCGAGCCTTCCCTTATTATAAGCATGTCTTGAAGACATGAACAGTATCATAATAAAGCTTTAAAGGTACCTTGGCATCAGCAAGGACTTAATTTAATGGCTAGCTAAGCTAATTACATGATTAATACAATCTGATTTTTTTAAAAAAAGACAATCCTTTGAAGGAGCAGTAAGACGAAGTGCTAAAATGAATGCTGATAACTGAATAAGCAAATGTGTTCTGTTGCTATTAGGGTGGGGGGAGAGAAGGGATACCTTGATAAAACAATTTGTTTACATTTAGAAAGCATATAAATGACAATGAATTGCATTATTTTTGATGTGGATATAATTCTTACCTTCCTGTTCCAAATATCTGACATTTTGCAAACAGCTGGATATCCAAGGCTTTCGAAACATGGATGCAGAAAGCAAAGACACTTAGCAAAGGAGGAAACCACAAAAACAGCTAATTCTTAGACAACCCTAGTCCCAAGCAGGCCTATCTTAGCAACGTTGTGTGGAGATTGTGCATAGCCCAGGTCTGAAGCTGCGAGGCTGTTACGTCCCTGGTAGTACAGTAAATGCATAGTAATAGGCTGGAAAACTGGAACAGCTCAAAACAGTAATCATATTTCAAGCAAAAAATTAAGCACCTGAATGGTAAAACAAATTGGATAATCGTGACTAGACTGGTAATATCACAGATTTTCCAAAGTGTTAGTTAACTGGCTATTTATATTCCAGAATTTTAAAAATGTATATAATTCTTTTCCTAAGAAAAAAGAAAAATCTTTTCCATAATTTTTTATGCATCTTAACTGTGAATATGAATGCGTGCACATACACAGACACACACAGACACATACATACGTGTGTGTGTATGTGTGTGCGCACGCACACATGCCTTCAGGCCAATATTGACTCCTGGTAACTGCAAGGACTAGTCCTGGCAATTTTCTTGGCAAGATTTTGGAACTAGTTTGTCATCAATTGTCCCATAGTGATAACTTAAACAGAAAACTTTAACAACCAATTATTCCACTCTGGAAAGATTTATGCTGGTATTCATATTCATTATGCCAAAGATATGTCTCACTAGAGAACATGCTACTAGCAAAAAATATTTTAAAAGTTTAAATTTATGGGCATGCGAATAAAGCAACCTATGATTGAGAGTGTAGGATAAAAGCTAAACAACTTCTAAGAGCCATCCATCTGCAAAATATTTTACATTCCAGATACATGGCATTAAGAATGCAGCTGCAAAAACTGAAGGAACAAAATTAATCTGATTTGTGACTTCATTTTAACCTTAATATTATAAGCTGCTTTTAAGCAGTTAAATCTTACACTTCCTTTTAAAAAAAAGGTAATATAGTTTCTTCTCAAGACAAGTGAATGTTTTATGTATTTTACATTTAAGATTTGACTCAAATTCAGATACTTTATTTCATGAAATATGGCTCTCCTTGCAGCAATTGAAAAGCAGAAGGCATGTGTATCTCATTCCTATCATCTTGAATTAATTTTGTAGGAGACAGACCCTCAAAACCACAAGAAATTAAGCACAGGGTTCCAAGTGTTTAGGCCAGACTCATCCTGGCCCTTTGAAATATATCAAGAGCACAACTCCCAGGTCAGAATTCTCCATTTTCCATTTGAAGTGAAAAAGTGGTTCACATTCCCAAAAAACTAGGGAACAAGTTCAATTACTTAAACAGTTCAAAAAGTGGCAGTAAGCCTTTCCTTTTATTTAAACTTCTCCACAGCAAGCTTTAATTGGTTGATTATAGAGAAAGGCTGTAGCGTAAAGGCAGATACTGGCCTGAAAATCTGGCATACATGTAGCTTTACATGTAACTCTTCCTCCAAAAATCCCAATGAACTATAATTAAAACCACAGATAATAATTGTAATAACTGGGCTAGGTACTGAATACAACTATTGTTTTCTTTTTAAACTGGTAATGCTAAAAAATGCAGCACTTTGAATTCCTTTTCCTATTCATTTCTTTTCCTATAGATCAAGACAAAAAATAAAGACTATTCAGTGTCTTATTTATGGAAGTACATCCCATATACCATATATTTCATACATAGTCACCATTTCATAAAAAGATTTTGCAATGGTTGAGAAATGTTTCCTATACTCAAATGGATGACAATTAAAAATGTGTTCTGTATTAATATTAGGGAAGGGAAAATCCTAGTGGAAAGAAAGAAGTAGATGATTTTAAGCTTTCTAGCTTGGGTGCTTAATTCAAACCCACCTCTTTTGTGTAAAGATGAAGAACCAAGGATAAAAATGTGCCTAGAGTTCTTGAAAAAAATAGCACTTATAGAATTTCCAGGCTGTGACAGGGGCAAACTTCATGGTACTATTAAAGGATCTCTTATAGATGATAGATAGACAGATAGACGGACAGACACTGATTAGTGCCATTTTGCAAGTTTTTAATTGTATAGATAGGACTTATATGGACACTAAATAGCTGAGGCTGATGGGTTCTACAGTTCAATACATACGAAGGACATTGGGCCGAAGAGTTAATATTACATCTATTATGAATATAAAGATAAATTATTTCACATCTTCTAAAATAATTATCTACCACTGTATGAAGAATTGTTCTTCAGGTCAGTAATTATATTTGCTTAATGAAGTCATACTAACGATTCCTATTATATTTAGAAAAACTTGGTTCAGTCATATTGACTTAGGGTCTCTTATTTTACCAGGGTGCCAGTTTTTACATAGTAGCCTTCCAAGTGAGAAACTTGGATGATATAACTACCGTACTCAGAGGCCCAAAGCTGCATAAATGATGATATTCCTCTTCCCTTCAGATGAATTAATTTAAATTGCTTTTCAATTTGATAGTTGTTTATTTAGAAGATAACATAGCTTGAAGTATGAGGAAATATTTCAGACAGCTCACTGTAATGCAATTACTACGCAAGCATATAATTTTTTTTATTCATACATATGTCAAACCTACTTCTCTGATGCAGACATATAAATCATGATCCAATTCCACCTGGGAGTGCAAATCTTAAGGCAGCTAGCAAAATTCTTCTACTCACATAGAATGGATTCACACACATACAAAGAGCAACGCTTATTTATTCAATGACACATAAGCACGGCAAAGGCAGGGCATGCCAGCTCTAATACATCACAGTATATCACAGCAGGTTTTTTTTTCTTTTAAACTAGAGCACCCGACCTTTTCTTGGGGGATTAAGCATGCAACGATCAGCATAAGATGTAGAAATTAGGGCATAATGTCACTACAGAAAAGAAGAGTGAGGAGAGAAGAGAATAACAGCAACAATGAGTTCTACTAGTATCAGCCGACAGCCTTTGCAAAAGTTGAAATATAACTACTTGTTACTCCTATCAGGTGTGAATACAAAGGATAAGTTTGATTAACAGAAATCAAGGCCATTTGAAAGCCAAAGGAGAAAATCAAGAAGTGCTTCAGAAAACAACAATAGTAATAATAGTTAAGTGCTTAAGAAGGATTCAATAGGTGGTGAAAAATACCAAATCCAGTTGTGGAAGAACTGTATGACCAATAATCATAATACATTAAACTTGTATACTGTCTGAGTCAAGAACACAAAATTATTGTGGGACAGAAAGAAAGTGAACTTCCTTCTTAGTGCACTTAATGCAGAGATTTTCAAAAATGTCTAAATCAAAGTAAAGATGCACTTAGCATCTGAAGAACTTGAGACTCATCTACTTGACATCAGTAAAGCTTGAGTTGCATACTTCAAGTTGCAGTAGCATGTAAGAACTAATCTACACTGAGTTCATTTTAGATTGAAGCATAATGAAACAGGTATCTCAGCTAGTGGCTTGCCCCATCCTACTAAGAGAGCCTGATCTGATGTAGTAGTCATTGCCTTCAGCTGGTCTTTGCTGTCAGCTATTTCTTTCTCTCCTCTACTGGAATAAAAGGGACCAAGTTCCAAAGAAAAAACACAAATTTCCTTTTCCTAGGAACACTTATAGTTAGTGCCTCCTAGTCATTTTGGAGAAGCATTTGCCAGATTACAAACCCCAACACACAAACTGGCACTCCCTAAAATAAACTACAAAGTAGGGCTTTCATGAGTATAAGTAGTCCTCAACTTACAACCACAATTGAGCCCAAAATTTGTTTCTAAGTGAAACATTTGTTAACTGAGTTTTGTCTCATTTTGCAACCTTTCCGCCACATTTGTTAAGTGAATCATTGCAGTTGTTCAGTTGGTAACATGGTTGTTAAGTAAATTTGGCTTCCCCATTGACTTTGCTTGTCAGAAGGCTGCAAAAGTTGACCACATGACCTGGGAATCCTGCAATTATCATAAATATGAACCTGTTATTAAACATCCAAATGTAAATCACGTGACTATGGGGATGTTGCAACAGTCATAAGTGTGAAAAATGTTCATAAGTCACATTTTTAAGTGCCACTGAAACTTTGAATTGTCACTAAATGAACTGTTGTAAGTTGAGGTCCATCTGTATTACACTGAAGGAAAAGATGAATGCTTCAAAAGAGAAAGTATAAACATATCCATAATTTAAGATGACAATTAGGCATCCAAAAAGCTAAGAAGGCAACTGAGTAAGACTAAATTTGAGAAACACAAGCTCAAACTATGGTCATCGCACCTAGAAATCTATGTTGGTTATATTCCTTTCTGCACCCTAGAAGATTTCACTCTAAATTGAGGGTTGGGGTGTGGTGGTGACCTTTTCCCTTCTGTTTCTTGGCCATTATTCCTTAGAAAAATTCAAAGCAATATTTTTTTTCCATGAAACTTATTTGTAGAGGACTGGTCCTTGGCTGCTGAATTGGCCAACTGACTCCAACTCCAGGTAAGTTTATTAGAGATAGTAATAATTGATCTACAGTTCAGTTATGAGTTGTTCTGATCCATAAGCTTACATTGCTGCAGTTGCCCATTAAGTACATAAACATGAACAAAAGAGCCATCTAGCCCACCATAATAATTAACATGTCCAGTTACATGCTTTCTAGCAGCTCACAATATATATTCGCAAGATGCAACAGCTTTTCATAGTTTTCCTTTTCCCAAATTAGATTCACATGCATCTGACAAACAAGCTCTACTCATTTTGTATGGGCTTGCTGGCAATCAGCAAACGTTGGATATTTTTCAACTCCAATCCCAAGTGTTAACTGTGGTGGGTCACACCACAACTAAAGCATTCAATCAAATGTGGAAAAGGGAGGAATTCACTTAAAATATAACACATATTTGAGTGTGTAAATGTATAATGGAGAATTTTTTTGCTTCACTCCTCAAAAGATGATGTTTTCCTACTGGATATTATTTATGTAAGTTTCATTCTGGTATAAAGTTTCCTGACATGAGATCATTTCTCCAGTGGGAAACATGTTTAATGCA